TACCTCTGGATAATGATTACGTAAATGTAAGTTGGGCTTTCTAAAGTTTCTAAATGTACCCATATTTACAGTGAGGGAAAAAAGTATTTGATCCCATGCTGATTTTGTACATTTGCCCACTGAAAAAGAAATGACCAGTCTATAATTTTAATGGTAGGTTTAATTGAACAGTGAGAGACAGAATAACAACAAAATCCAGAAATATGCATGTCAAAAATGTTATAAATTGATTCGCATTTTAATGAGGGAAATAAGTATTTGACCCCTCTGCAAAACATGACTTAGTACTTGGTGGCAAAACCCTTGTTGGCAATCACAGAGGTCAGACGTTTCTTGCAGTTGGCCACCAGGTTTGCACATCTCAGGAGGGATTTTGTCCCACTCCTCTTTGCAGATCTTCTCCAAGTCATTAAGGTTTCGAGGCTGACGTTTGGCGACTCGAACCTTCAGCTCCCTCCACAGATTTTCTATAGGATTAAGGTCTGGAGACTGGCTAGGCCACTCCAGGACCTTAATGTGCTTCTTCTTGAGCCACTCCTTTGTTGCCTTGGCCGTGTGTTTTGGGTCATTGTCATGCTGGAATACCCATCCACGACCCATTTTCAATGCCCTGGCTGAGGGAAGGAAGTTCTCACCCAAGATTTGACGGTACATGGCCCTATCCATCGTCCCTTTGATGCGGTGAAGCTGTCCTGTCACCTTAGCAGAAAAACACCCCCAAAGCATAATGTTTCCACCTCCATGTTTGACGGTGGGGATGGTATTCTTGGGGTCATAGGCAGCATTCCTCCTCCAAACACGGTGAGTTGAGTTGATGCCAAAGAGCTCCATTTTGGTCTCATCTGACCACAACACTTTCACTCAGTTGTCCTCTGAATCATTCAGATGTTCATTGGCAAACTTAAGACGGGCATGTATATGTGCTTTCTTGAGCAGGGGAACCTTGCGGGCGCTGCAGGATTTCAGACCTTCACGGCGTAGTGTGTTACAAATTCATCTTCTTTGGTTCTTTCGGTAAAGTCACGTAGAATGAGAATAAAATAATAAATTGATAAAATAAAATAACACAATAATATTCTCACGAATATTGAGACTGTCTGGAGGACAGCGCTGTCCTCCAGACAGTCTCGTCCCCTTCACCTGATGAAGGCCGCTTGTGTTGTGGCCGAAACGTCGTGAGAATATTATTGTATTATTTTATTTTATCAATTTATTATTTTATTCTCATTCTACGTGACTTTACCGAAAGAACCAAAGAAGATGAATCCTTGCAGTCACGAAAGCTTTAAATCGAAATGTGTTACCAATTGTTTTCTTGGTGACTATGGTCCCAGCTGCCTTGAGATCATTGACAAGATCCTCCCGTGTAGCTCTGGACTGATTCCTCACCATTCTCATGATCATTGCAACTCCACGAGGTGAGATCTTGCATGGAGCCCCAGGCCGAGGGAGATTGACAGTTCTTATGTGTTTCTTCCATTTGCGAATAATCGCACCAACTGTTGTCACCTTCTCACCAAGCTGCTTGGCAATGGTCTTGTAGCCCATTCCAGCCTTGTGTAGGTCTACAATCTTGTCCCTGACATCCTTGGAGAGCTCTTTAGTCTTGGCCATGGTGGAGAGTTTGGAATCTGATTGATTGATTGCTTCTGTGGACAGGTGTCTTTTATACAGGTAACAAGCTGAGATTAGGAGCACTCCCTTTATGAGTGTGCTCTTAATCTCAGCTCGTTACCTGTATAAAAGACACCTGGGAGCCAGAAATATTTCTGTCAGTGGGCAAACGTACAAAATCAGCAGGGGATCAAATACTTTTTCCCTCTGTAAAGATGTGAAATTGTAAAGAGGACCAGCCTCGAACTGATTGGTCGGCCTCACCTTCTGCAGCAGTTTCGCTTGTTTCTGGAGACGGTCCACAGCCTCCACCTGTTCCTCGGGCCCCACCCTCCAGGGCAAAACAGAGAAACACGAGCTTTAAAACAACTCTGCGGTGAATTATACATATGGTTATAAACCTACACGTTAATAACCAGATTAATGCCACTAAATAGTGCATTTGCGGCATAGCTTAAGCAATGCTCACTTGACGAGGGCGTTCAGAGCCCTCTCGTTAGTGTAACTGCGTTCACAATACTGCAGCACGCGGTTTCCCGCTAGGAACAAAATGTTGGTCTTGTTCTTTTTTCCCTTCTCGGCGCCGAAGATCTTGATTGCCTGCAGCTGGCTGAGGTTGGAAACGTGAGTCCCGCAGCACATGTTGGCATCCACTGCCTTGATGTCGATGATCCTGACAGGTCCCACATGGTCATCCGGCAATCCTCGACTCCGGAACTACCCGGACCCCGTACCGGAAAAAACAAAAAGCCAATCAAAATCAGTGCCCACACTTCACAGTGAATACCAACCACCCTCCAATGCAAAGCGCTGCAATCACCTGTGCCAGCTCTGGATCATCCGCCTCATAAACGTGCACTTCTACGGGAACGTGCTCACGGATCTTGGTGTTGACTGCGAGCTCCAGGTCACGAAGTTGCTCGGCCGATACACTCGGCGTGTCCAACTCGATGCTCGACCGCTGCTTACCCAAGTCCCTTCACCACCGCGGGCAGCACGCACAAACACAATGAAGCATGCCAATATGGTTGGCCATCTTTGCCAGTATAGTCGTTTCAACTTAATTTCAGTGCAATGAGGGTAAGAAAACATGATATTTGCAACAATTACCAAGATGTTGTTTTGAACCCATACATGGAGTCTGCCAAGGCAGTGACAAGGTGCTGCCCTGAAAATGGAGAAATATTTTTTTAGCTGTCAGCATATATATACTTGCCTTTTGCCCGTCCAAGGACGGGTGTATCGCAGTAAATCTGAAACTTGCAAGCGAAAAGCAGAGCGCGACGTGATATCCATTGCATTAATTCGTGTGCAATTTATAAGGCCGCGGTGACACAGACATATTTCATTTAAAGGTTATAATCCCTTGTTCATCGTGACATCCTTTTTACTTCTATGTCTCAACAACAGCGTTACGGAGATCGCATGACGTGAGGGTTCTGCCTTTGTAGTGATGGTTGTAAGTTGACGCTGAGGAGGGGGGAGGAGGTGCCTCGCCCCCCCCCCCCATGTGGAGTGACGTCACCCGCTAATTAATATTAATGGTGGGGGTGTCCATTTGGAAGATGTCACCTCTTCATAATTATTCATGTGGGGGGGCTGTTCGATGTGGAGTGGCATCACCTGCTCATGATTATTAATGAGGGGGGGGGGGGCTGTTCGATGTGGAGTGACATCGCCTGTTCATGAGTATTAATGAGGGGGGCTGGCCGACGTGGAGTGACGTCACTCGCGGGACACATACATTCTTGGCTCATTATAGTAGTAAATGTGGAACGTCTTTCGCGCCGTACGTAGCCAACCGCGCTAATCAGAGGTGCGGTAACCCGCGAGTGAAGCTACATTGGCCACAACGGCACAAAGGCCTGCACGAAACATTGTTCGTCCCATTAATGAGCAGCCTTACCAGAGTGCTGTTGCATGTGGTCAAAGCGACGCGCCCAATCAACTCGCAGATCCACGCTCACTCCAACCTCCAGGGGCGACTCCACGAAGTGGACAGCGTCTCCACCTTTCCGCGTCACTCGCAGCACCGGCAGCCCATTAATGGTGCCAAAGTCATCCGGCTGCAGGGGTAGAAGAGGGGAGGGGGGGGGGTGTGCTTCATCAACACCACGCCAGCTCATTTGTGCGGTCTGTTGGATGAGGTGCACAACAGAATGTTCGTGAAGTGCGGTTTGGGTGCTTCTAGGCTGCACTGCCCTACACAATCGTGCAGCCACAGGGCGTTTTGGAAGGCGGTGCTTCAATGCCGTCCCTTGCCTCACCTGGCCTCCACCTTCAGGGAACAGGACGGTGTCCTCCAGTATCACTTCGAAGCCCTCAATTTTCTTCTTCTTTCCGTTGGTCTCCATGTGCAGCACGGCAGGCACGCACGACCGCACGCTGCTGGTCAGCTGCACGCGGACCACCACCACCATCACCACGGCAGCCACGGTTCAGTGGTTTGCAGACAGAGGGCGCCAATACGCCGCGTTCTTAAATCAAATCACAATCATAATCTGTATTTCTGAATCGGTTAGCCTGGAGAAATCCGATGGGCTATGAAGCTCTTTTCTTTTATACAGATGTTCGGTAGTATGCCCCAACTTAGACGTTGTGTCACACTGCCTAGGTGCAGTCATAATCCAATTAAAAATATGGGCCATACACACGCAAGGATTAGAGCCCCCATTTCATCGTAATCATACACAGCACATCATCCACGTTCAAGTCCCACATGAAGATGACGGCGGCGGCGATGCCTGTGATGCTGATCATGAAAGGGAAGTGATAATGATGACGTTGATGATGGTACAATCACCGTATGTGTGTTGATTCTGCAGCTGACAATGATTGTAATATGCTAGTCACAGTGCGGTGCAGTTACTGAACGGTGATCGCGCTGTGCTTGATGCCAGTGCAATGATCGCGTTGTGCCACTGCCCATCGTGGACTCATCACGATATGACGACAGTGGGATAATAACGATGTTGCTGATCATGACAGCAGAATGGTGGTGGTGATGATGATGATGCAACACAACACCACATTTACACTAGAGACGCGTGCCGCTCATGGGGTTAACGCTGTGTTCCGGCGCGGCACCGCCACCACTCGCGTCATCCTACCTCCTTAAGGAAGCTGTCCTTTTGACACATGAACGCCATTACCGCAGCAACAACAGCAAAAAAACCAAACGATGGCAAAAACACACGGGGAGAGAGAGAGGGAGACAGAGAGGGGAGACAGAGAGAGAGGAGAGAGAGGGGGGTGGTTGCGACGACTCGCCCAGCTGTTGCGGGCCGGCCGCGACCCGGAACTGGCGCCCTTTGACCCGGAACTGGCGCCCTTTGACCCGGAAGCGGCCCCCTGCAGGAGAAGGCGGCCCCTCCCCCTCACGCTCCCCTCGCCACCGTCCCCCTCACCGCCCCCCACCATCACCACCACCATCACCACGGCCGACTTGGCTCGCTCCCTCGCTGCTCCCTCGCTCGCTCGCTCCGGCCTCTCTCAATCCGCGTCCATCCTCGTGCAGAGCGGGACCGTCACCCGGGATCAGCCCCCCGCACGCGCGCAGGTAAACTTGACGCAGCCTCTCGCCCATTCCGCAAGCTCGTTCGTGCAGCCAAACGCGAGGCGTTCCATCGCCCCCCCCCCACTCCGTCTGTTATCCCTCAATGTTGCCCTTCGCTTGCAATGACGACCTCGTATCCGTGAGTTCACCCGATGCTCGTCCGTCCGTGAATTCGCTCGCTCGCTGGCAAATGCATTCACTCATTCATCGCTGAGCCCGTCCAGTCACTCGTTTTATAAATAGCTCATTCGTGAAAAGACATTCTGCTATTCATTCGCACGTTAATTCATGCGCTCACCCCATTTGAATTGATCGGTCAATTCACTCGCTCATCCGTTCTCACCCAATTCCACAAATATATTCATTCATCCATGCAGTACCCCCTTCACTCGTTCATTCATTTATTATTTAAATCTTCATTTCACTCCGCTCCTCTTTCACGTTGCATATCGGAATCTTTATTTAGATTGGGTAGAATTCACTTTCGAGCTATTCATCTTTTTTTTTCCCCCCCACACATGTCCAGAATATTGCCCGCCGCGAGAGCTCCATGGCGAGCAACATTCCCGGACCACGCGATCGCGACACACCCCTGTTTAGCGAGTCCCCTTGCTGGGGGCAGTCGGCTGCCCTCCTCACCCCCACACCCCCATAGGGGGGGCATCCATTGAGTACGTACGCATGGAGGGGTGGAGGGGGGGGTTAACCCAAATGCGTATGGGGGGGGGAGTCTGCTAACAATGTACGCATAGGAAACGGGGTCGGGGTCAGGGGGGGGGTGAAGCCACGATAATAATTTGTGTACATTGGCCTTGAAATGAGCCACAGTTCAGTGTCTTCAGCTGTCAGACAACAAGTACTAGCGTGAGCAGTGGGACTGTGGGAGAGGTGCCACTCGTGTGCCACCGTGCCCCCCCTCCCCCCTGACTGCGAGCTATCACGCAGCTCGGCAAAATAAGTGGCCAAGGCACGCAAGTTAATTATTTAATGCAGGTGGACTATCTGTTTGCTTAAACACGTTAATGTTATCGTTTCTGCGTGGATTAAATATCGGCCGTTCTATAGGATTCGGGGCGGGGGTGCGTCAAGCTGTACGTACGCAGGTGCGTACAGGGAGGAGGGGGGTAGAGGTCAAGTTTTGACAGATTTTTGCGTACCTACTAAATGGATGGCCCTTTACCACCTCACAACCCTCACCCCCGGCCCCCCACCCCCTCACCCACCCCTCCAGACCCTCACCCACACCCTCCCTCACCCACATTTCACCCCCATCTCACCCACCGCTCACCACCCCCTCACCCACCCCTCACCCCCCTCCATCCACCCCCCCCCCTCTTCCCCATCACCCCACCCCCTCTCTGTGTGTTCTGTACTGCACTACGAGTCAAGATGGCCTTAGCCCAGGGGTGCGCACATTTTTTGACTCGCGGGCCACAATGGGTTCTAAAATTTGACAGAGGGGCCGAGCCAGGAACAGATGGATGGAGTGTTTGTGTGAACTAATATAAATGACATGTAAAAATCATTACATGAAAGGATTTGGCCTACAACAGGTAGCAAAGCATTTATTTGCAAGGCAATTTAACCAATTGCACGAACATGAACAATACAAAAACATGTCGTAATGTGACTGATCAAACATCATGAAAACATCTGAGGCCTGCGCCCAAACCAATTACCACACTCCCGGTCAAAGTGCGCCATCTAATGGGGAAATGGGGGCATTACAGGAGAAAGGTAAAATTTAATTTAATAATAATAATATTTGGACAAGTTCGGCGGGCCGGATTAAAAAGCCCAACGCGCCGTACTTTGCCCATGTCTGCCTTAGCCTCAGCGGTGGCAAATTACGTGAATCGCATAGGATTCTGTTGTGTATCTCAGTACAAAGCAGAGCAAACACTGACATAACAACAATATACAACAACTAGGGGTTGTTCGAGGACGCCTGTGGCGCCCCTCACAACCATTTACGTTCTTCGGCCAGGAATGCCACGAAAAAAATTGCACGCGAAGGACACATTCACGCAAGCACCCGATGCTCCGTTTTGAAGTTTTGAAATGAAACATTTTGAATTCATATTATTGGTTCTTTCGGTAAAGTCACGTAGAAAGAACCAAGAATATGAATCCCTGCAGTCACAAAAGCTTTAAATCTAAATATTTTGAATTGTAATATGTTTAGAATTAGATAATTGTATTTCTTCATTAAAAGCTTATATCACTTTACATCTGGAATACTTAATTGAAAACGACATTTCGTGGTGAATATCCTCTCGTCGTTAAGTCAATGGCCTTGCTGGGGGTTTGGTTCGATGCGGACTTTCACCCGGCCCACTATAGCCCCGCCAAGCGTTGGTTGGCTGCTTGGTCCCGGTCACGTGACGCACTTAAACCAATCCGTGCCGCGTTAGTCACAATGACAGAATCACAGATCTGGGTGTTTATATATTAAGATGATCGTGACGGCTGATGGCAAACTAAAGTCCCCGACGAAGGATTACTACATTAAAGATACTAACTTCTACCGATAGATGGCGCTAGTACTTTGTGTACATACAGACTGTATACTGCAGTGGTGATTTTTGGTCGTAGCTTTCTGGTGGAACTCGGAGGAGCCCGTTGAGATCCAGCGGAATGGATCATCCAGTGCTTGGTACGTAGCGTAAGGCAGCTCGCTGTTCGAAACCAGTGAGAATGTCAGAGGGCCGGCACAGCCTGCGACGTGGATACCGTGCGGGATAAGTTTGCAATGGGCGCGGGGAAATTCAACGCCACGTTGCAGCGACAAAACACGCTTATACACAACACGAGACGTATACTTTACAAACACCGTGTTGACATGTGGTGATCTCTCACTATCGTGGCCTTAATGTTTTTTTTTTTGGGGGGGGGGGGGGGGCTGGGGGAGGCGTGGGCACCCCTGGTCTTTATGGGGGGGGTCTCACATACTGAAAAGGTTAAGAACCACTGGCTTAAGATTTAAACATGCTCTGATGATGATGGCAGCGACAGTGATGATGTTTATGGTTATTGATGATACCAGCTTGTTAAAATCGTACACCTAAACCATGGAGACATTTAATGGTGACCCTTCAACTTGCATTTAATTTTGGACAACGTTAGATGCTCGGCTTTAGTCAATGATCTTCAGGCTTACTCGGTGAAATACAATTTGGATTTAAATGTAACGTGTAAATCGTTTCTCACGACGTACAGAAACATTGGACAGATTTATAGAGAGGCAAGCCGTCAGAGGGAACGAATGAAGGTACTGTTTTGAGCCTGTGCTTTAACAATGACCAGGCAAATAAACACCGTGGATAGCTGGTAGAAGGGAGTGCTGGAGGGCAGACCTTGCAAAGCTGCAAACTGTGCTTCTACAGATCTACACAAAGGGCAGGCAGAGGGCATGTTTCACTCAGCTTGGCATAATGAGTCATATGTGTGGTAGACATCCCTTGAGGTACCAGCGGCCAGAATACAGCCCATTATCGCTGTCCCTCTCTCTGTCTTGGTCCAGATATGCCCATCCAGACGACTGACACAGCCCCAGTGGCACAGAAGGAATCACGCCCAGTTCAGGTGGAGTCTGGTGAGTTTTTCTTTTCCCACACAGATTGTTATAACATTCAGTTGCATTCGTCCCAAGTGCACTCATCCCAATAAATACACTTTCCTGTGTCGCTTGTAAACACCATGACCATCAGACTTGTCACCGTGCACCGTCTCATCGACTGACACATTCTTCAGCTCACGATACTTGCATTGAATTGTGGATGTGAGAATCGATTGTCTACGATTTTTGCAGAGTGTGTGTTAATGTTGCATTTAGGTGAATGGAGTAAGCAAAACTGTATTATACAGAACAAATGAGAAACTATATATGAGAATGTAAAAACAAGTAAAAAATACCTGATTCTTGAATTGAATCGTGACATTAAAATGTGAAAATGAATTCTATCGTTATTTGGTGAATAATAACACGCTCAAGGACTGCATACCTTAGCATTCCTCCTCTGGTCCTATGTTGTCGTCTCGCAATACCATCAAGGTACACTCTTCGAAGATGGAATGGAATGGTTCATGATTGAGTGGGAAATTCATATTTAGATCGGCATTTGTAAATTCTTAAGCATCATGCTTTGTAGTGAAATAACTGGCATTGTGTTAAAGGATTATGGCTCTTCTTGTTGCATTGCTTATCTTCCAAGCCATAATTAATGCTCTTGTAATCATCAGTGGGAGTATCTAAATTACGAATATCTTTAAACCATTTTTATGGTATAAAGGAGGTAGTAGTGCCCACTATCCATGATGTCCCAAGCAGGAACTGCCTTTTCACTCAAAATACTACTGAACCTCATCATATGCCTATTATTGCTATTTTGATTAAAAAATGCTTTACTCTGTTTTAAAAATGCCTTTTAAATTGACATTATTGCTCCTGAATTTGTAGGCAAGTGTTTTTCAAGTTTGCCATTTTAGACTGCTGTGTTTTAAATGCCATTTTAATACGGTCATGTATATTACTGTCATATCCCGAAAGGATCTGGAACGGAATCGGACAGCGATGAGTCCATCCCTGAATTGGAGGAGCAAACAGACTCCACATCACAGGCCCATTCTCAGCAAGCACAGGTACAGCCATGCTTAAACTACATGGTTTTCGACTGGTATCTGTTTTATGGCAAAACCAGAAGTAAACGGTGAGCGGAAATGACATCAACCATGTCTCTGTGTTTGTTGCAGCTGGCAGCTGCGGCAGAGCTGAACGAAGAGTTGGTGAGCAAAGCCAAGCAGAGCCGCAGCGAGAAGAAGGCTCGTAAGGTCAGGAGCGATAAGGAGACAGATATGATAGTTGTGGGATTCTCTTGTATTTTTAATCTAGACTAATAATTTGTAATGCTTTAGTTACTTGAGGTTTGCGTTGTGCCCACAACCCTGCAGGCCATGTCAAAGCTGGGGCTGCGTCAGGTGGGCGGTGTGACGCGCGTCACCATCCGGAAGTCCAAGAACATTCTCTTCGTTATCACCAAGCCTGATGTGTACAAGAGCCCTGCCTCGGACACCTACATCGTCTTTGGAGAGGCTAAGGTTCGCTGATGTATTGTATTTTATATCTGTTCCATTGGTGCTGCAAAATTAGCAAAAGTAAGTTAACGTAACAGGAAAAGGTTCAATAGTCAGGGTGTGCTCCGTTGACATACAGAACTGGTGTGATGTCTGCATCTGTGTTTCCATTAAGTTCTGGCTTCACTTGGAAGGCATTAAGGAATGTTTTTTTTTTATATATCCTGCTGACGTCAAATGCTGTGCAAATATTTTATAATGGCAATGCGTGGCAAAAGTATGGGAAATGGAAAATGCAGACATTGACGTGGAAATTGTATTGCTAGACTTGTATGAATGTTCAAGTGTCAAATAAACGATCATTCTGGCAATTGTGTTGTAGAATATAGACACATTGAGAACACAGATGGAAAACATATTTCTTGTAATCAACACTTGCAGCCGTGGACCTCTGTGCCGAGTGTGGGTTTGTGTGCGGTGTTTGTTTTTCGTGTTGCATGCAGATTGAAGACCTGTCCCAGCAGGCGCAGATGGCAGCGGCTGAGAAGTTCAAGGTTCCCGGGGAGGCAGCGCCGGGCGTTCAGGAGCGCGTGCAGCCACCCCCCGTGCCCGAGGAGAGCGAAGAAGAGGAGGAGGTGCTTCAGCCGCATCCCCCCAACATGAGCACGATAGAACGCCAGCTTTATCTCTGCTGGCCTTGGCGCTGTCTTGCAGTCCTATGCTGCCACCCTGTGACCAAAACAACACACTGCGATTATTTTGTTCTTATTGGGATGAGTATTTCCTGTACATTCGGCATGCAATGATTCACTCCGCTTTGGTGTTTGATTCATTGTTCTAATTCACGGTGATGATTTGAATGCGTGAATCAATTTTTTTTCTCGTTTATACTGTCATTTGTATTGTTTTTCATGTTTTGGTTTATGCTTTTAGTCCAAAGGTAACATTTGCATAACATTTTCATAATTTATACATTCTTACACACGAGTCAATACATGCATTTAAAGTGTGCATATGTGACCGGCCCGCACCGACCGGTGTTGTGAGGTATCGTCAAATAACCCCTATAACCCAACCTGCACAGCATGGAGATGCCTTCTTCCAGTCGTGGCATGACAAAAGGGCTATACTTGATATGTGGTGATTTATTTATTATCATGTTTGTTTACCAAGGAATGCCTCACTGAGTCCCAAAAGCCTTTTTAAAGAGGGTCATGCCAAGCTTTTTCAGGGGCTCTAGCTCTATATAATCCCAACTGAGTAAATTCCAGTTACATTTACAGCATTGGGATGTTTTCTCCAATACCAGTCACATTGCTCTTTTTAGCTGGTGATCATTATTATAAGCATTGATTTTAATCATTTGGTGACTTGTTACATGCCAAAGAACTTGAATGAAGACCAAATCAAATGGAGAAAAATAAAATAAACTCTTTTTACTGTGGCCGAAAATGTTCATCAATTGTGCACTTATCTGCTGTGTATTAAGGTGGACGAGACTGGCGTGGAAGCCAAGGACATCGAGCTGGTGATGTCGCAGGCCAATGTGTCACGCTCAAAGGCTGTGCGTGCACTCAAGAACAACAGCAACGACATTGTTAACGCCATCATGGTGAGCACATCTCTGTACACTTCACAAAAAGTGTGAACGGTTTGATCAAGTACGCTGTGTGCCCATTGCCGGTGTTGTGTGTTATCATTGAGCCAATTCTAAGCATGTTCTATCTGCCCTCTTCCCTTGTTTCATTCACAGGAATTAACAATGTAGTGCCCGTGACATCTCGGAGTGGACTGCCATCTCCACGTTTTTACTCCGTGTCTCAATAAATATTTATCACAACTGATGTTTTTGTGCTTTTTTTTCCACGTGATACTTTTATTGTTGTTAGTACTCTGAGGTTTATGGTGAAGTAAATTAGAATATTACGATTCCTTGAGTTTGGCAGAGAAATTCGATATTTTACAAGAGGTTCTGCCATTGTCACAAGACTCGCACTTAATTATTTAATCATATATAGTAGATAATCGATTATCCGGAGGCTTTGTAGGGAGGGGGCGCCGGATTTTCAAACATGGCGGATAATTACATTGCTATTTAAGATTTTTTGTTCACATTCTTATATGACAATGTTTTAGGGTTTTTTTTGTAAACTATATGAAATTGGCATAAATAAACATACCAAAAAACAAATATCCGACTTAAAATTTACTGCATTTACTGTTTCGTACTTACCACTAATATCGAAGACTCCACATTGGGTGATGTATATACGTGCAGTATTTTCATTAAGTTGTATGTGGTGTGTAATGTACTGTACATAATATTTAAGACAAATCAAGCATAGCTACTTTTTTTTGTCACGCAAATGTTGCCGATCGTTGGACTGGTACAGCCTTTCGGAGCGGTTTTTACCGGATTGGCCCGGGACTGCCAGATTATAGTGCCCCAGATAATTGACGATCAACTGTACTGTTACATCTCGAAGCCGATTTCATTCAGGCCAGTGCATTGCAGTCCTAAGAACCTCTGGGCAAAGCCACCTCAACAATAAGTGGTGGATGGATACGGAGATGCATTGAGATTTGGTGACAGTAACAGCCACCCATACAGCCCTTTGGCAATCCATACCTCATGTTGATCATTGTGGTTGAAGGTGGGGAGCATAGACATGAAAACATTTTTTTCTGCAGTACCACCTGCTTTCCTAAGTCTACAAAGAACAACTATCGCCTCCCTACTCCCCATTTGCTCTTCGACATTTAATGGGCAGTTTTATACATTCCAGTTTGAAACACCAGTATGATCAATCACTTAATATGACAATGCGTGAGCACTGGGACTGTGATGTCATATACATCCCTGGAATGTTTTAAATACTTGAAGGGGGCGGGCGTTGGCCATGGGCTAAATTGTAACCAAGTGATCGGTGCGGTTTACCCGTATTCTTGTACAGGGAATTTTAAAGATTTCAGGTCCATATTGCATGTAGCCGTTTTAATACGGGCACACTTTTTTCGTCTATTTGTGTTTCTCCCTTGTGATGGGACTTTGTAGGATGAACGTTGAGATTTATAAGGGCACGGGGTGACCAATAAGATCTGAATTGGTATGTAATAAGATCGGCACTGATAAGGTGTTGACAGGAATGCGGTAACTTCTTTTTTTAACAATTCAACTGACATTTACAACCATTACAATGCAGCAACACGTCCAGTCTTCCACGTGGCAGTGGCAAGCAATATCCTGTTCAGCGTGGGCTTGCCACATATACCACACTGTACACAAACGTGACTCCACCTGCACAGCAGTCGGGTGTGTAAACTGGTGTCGAATTGGGGTCTTGATGTGTGGACAGTGATCTAGGGGTATGGATTTAGGTGTAGATTGGAGGTGGGCTGGGTGTTTTAAGAGCGCAGAATGTGGGTGTGAACACTGTGATGGATGTGTATTAGTCTGGAGTTGAGGGTGTATTCTGGGTGCGGAGGAGTGTAGACTGGAGTGGGGGGGTGTGGCTTTCTAGGTTTATAGGGTTTGGGTGTGTAGAGTGGGGGTGTGAACAGTGTTCTCGGCGTACTATGGTGTAGGGTTGGGGTGCGTAGTGGGTGTGTGAGAGTGGAAGAGTGGGGGGTGTGCACTAGATGTGTAAGTAGAGTGGGGGAGTGGGCTGGGTGTGAAGGTGTAGAGTGGAGGTGTGTGAGAGTGTAGAGTGGTGGTGTGTGAGAGTGTGGAGTGGTGGTGAGTGAGGATGTAGAGTGGAGGTGTATGAGGATGTAGAGTGGAGGTGTATGAGGATGTAGAGTGGAGGTGTGTGAGAGTGTAGAGTGGAGGTGTGTGAGAGTGTAGAGTGGAGGTGTATGAGGATGTAGAGTGGAGGTGTGTGAGAGTGTAGAGTGGTGGTGTGTGAGAGTGGTGGTGTGTGAGAGTGTGGAGTGGAGGTGTGTGAGAGTGTAGAGTGGAGGTGTGTGAGAGTGGTGGGGTGTGAGAGTGTGGAGTGGAGGTGTGTGAGAGTGTAGAGTGGTGGTGAGTGAGGATGTAGAGTGGAGGTGTGTGAGAGTGTGGAGTGGAGGTGTGTGAGGATGTAGAGTGGTGTGTGAGAGTGTAGAGTGGAGGTGTGTGAGAGTGTAGAGTGGTGGTGAGTGAGGATGTAGAGTGGAGGTGTGTGAGAGTGGTGGTGTGTGAGAGTGTAGAGTGGTGTGTGAGAGTGTGGAGTGGAGGTGTGTGAGAGTGTAGAGTGTAAGTGAGTGAGGGTGTAGAGTGGAGGTGTGTGAGAGTGGTGGTGTGTGAGAGTGTGGAGTGGTGTGTGAGAGTGTAGAGTGGAGGTGTGTAAGAGTGTGGAGTGGAGGTGTGTAAGAGTGTGGAGTGGAGGTGTGTGAGAGTGTAGAGTGGAGGTGTGTGAGAGTGTGGAGTGGAGGTGTGTGAGAGTGTAGAGTGGAGGTGTGTGAGAGTGTAGAATGGAGGTGTGTAAGAGTGTAGAATGGTGGTGTGTGAGAGTGTAGAGTGGTGGTGTGTGAGAGTGTAGAGTGGTGTGTGAGAGTGTAGAGTGGTGGTGTGTGAGAGTGTAGAGTGGTGGTGTGTGAGAGTGGTGGTGTGTGAGAGTGTAGAGTGGAGGTGTGTGAGAGTGTAGAGTGGTGTGTGAGAGTGTAGAGTGGAGGTGTATGAGGATGTAGAGTGGAGGTGTGTGAGAGTGTGGAGTGGAGGTGTGTGAGAGTGTAGAGTGATGGTGTGTGAGAGTGGTGGTGAGTGAGGATATAGAGTGGAGGTGTGTGAGAGTGTAGAGTGGTGGTGTGTGAGAGTGTAGAGTGGTGTGTGAGAGTGGTGGTGAGTGAGGATATAGAGTGGAGGTGTGTGAGGATGTAGAGTGGTGGTGTGAGAGTGTGGAGTGGTGGTGTGTGAGAGTGTAGAGTGGTGGTGTGTGAGAGTGTAGAGTGGTGTGTGAGAGTGTAGAGTGGTGTGTGAGAGTGTAGAGTGGTGTGTGAGAGTGTAGAGTGGTGGTGTGTGAGAGTGTAGAGTGGAGGTGTGTGAGGATGTGGAGTGGTGGTGTGTGAGAGTGTAGAGTGGAGGTGAGTGAGGATGTAGAGTGTAAGTGAGTGAGGGTGTAGGTGTGTGAGGGTGAGTGAGGGTGGAGGTGTGTGAGGGTGGAGGTGTGTGAGGGTGGAGGTGCGTGAGGGTGGAGGTGAGTGAGGCTGGAGGTGTGTGAGAGTGTAAGAGAGTGAGAGTGTAGGTGTGTGAGGGTGAGTGAGGGTGGAGGTGAGTGAGGGTGGAGGTGTGTTAGGCTGAGTGAGAGTGGAGGTGTGTGAGAGTGTAGGTGTGTGAGGGTGGAGGTGTGTGAGGGTGAGTGAGAGTGGAGGTGAGTGACGGTGGAGGTGTGTGAGGGTGGAGGTGTGTGAGGGTGAGTGAGAGTGGAGGTGAGTGACGGTGGAGGTGTGTGAGGGTGGAGGGGTGTGAGGGTGAGTGAGAGTGGAGGTGTGTGAGAGTGTAGGTGTGTCAGGGTGGAGGTGTGTGAGGGTGAGTGAGAGTGGAGGTGAGTGACGGTGGAGGTGTGTGAGGGTGGAGGTGTGTGAGGGTGAGTGAGAGTGGAGGTGTGTCAGAGTGTAGGTGTGTCAGGGTGGAGGTGTGTGAGGCTGGAGGTGAGTGAGAGTGTAGGTGTGTGAGGGTGTAGGTGTGTGAGGGTGGAGGTGTGTGAGAGTGTAGGTGTGTGAGGTGGAGGTGAGTGAGGGTGGAGGTGTGTGAGGCTGGAGGTGAGTGAGAGTGGAGGTGAGTGAGAGTGTAGGTGTGTGAGAGTGTAGGTGTGTCAGGGTGGAGGTGAGTGAGGCTGGAGGTGTGTGACGATGTGGGAGGGGCTATCTCTCGTGCACGTGTCCGCGTCCCCGCCCTCTCGCCTCCCCACGTCTCCACGTGTGCACTTTCCCGCCCACTCCGCTCCGAATAATTGGTCCGGTTCGCTCACTCGGCCAGGTGTGGATCAGCACAGAGCCATAGGGGGGGCTGGTAGAGAGGGGGGCTGGTAGAGAAGGGGGCTGGTAGAGAGGGGGGCTGGTAGAGGGGGAGGGCTGGTAGAGAGGGTTGCTGGTAGAGAGGGGGGGGGCTGCTAGAGAGGGGGGGGCTGCTAGAGAGGGGGGCTGGTAGAGAGGGGGGCTGGTAGAGGGGGGGGGGCTGGTAGAGGGGGGGGGCTGGTAGAGAGGGGGGCTGGAAGAGAAGGGGGCTGGTAGAGAGGGGGGCTGGTAGAGGGGGGGGGGCTGGTAGAGGGGGGGGGCTGGTAGAGAGGGTTGCTGGTAGAGAGGGTTGCTGGTAGAGAGGGTTGCTGGTAGAGAGAGGGGCTGGTAGAGAGGGGGGGCTGCTAGAGAGGGGGGGCTGGTAGAGAGGGGGGCTGGTAGAGAGGGGGGCTGGTAGAGAGGGGGGCTGGTAGAGAGGGGGGGCTGCTAGAGAGAGGGGCTGGTAGAGAGGGGGGGCTGCTAGAGAGGGGGGGCTGGTAGAGAGAGGGGCTGGTAGAGAGGGGGGGCTGCTAGAGAGAGGGGCTGGTAGAGAGGGGGGGCTGCTAGAGAGGGGGGGCTGGTAGAGAGGGGGGCTGGTAGAGAGGGGGGCTGGTAGAGAGGGGGGCTGGTAGAGAGGGGGGCTGGTAGAGAGGGTTGCTGTAGAGGGGGGGCGGGTAGAGAGGGGGGCTGGTAGAGAGGGTTGCTGGTAGAGAGGGGGGCTGGTAGAGAGGGGGGCTGGTAGAGAGGGGGCTGCTAGAGAGGGGGGCTGGTAGAGGGCGGGGGGCTGGTAGAGAGGGGGGCTTCTAGAGAGGGTTGCTGGTAGAGAGGGGGGGGCTGGTAGAGAGGGGGGCTGGTAGAGAGGGGGGCTGGTAGAGAGGGGGGCTGGTAGAGGGGAGGGTCTGGTAGAGAGGGGGGGGGGGCTGGTAGAGAGGGTTGCTGGTAGAGAGGGGGGCTGGTAGAGAGGGGGGCTGGTAGAGAAGGGGGCTGGTAGAGAGGGGGGCTGGTAGAGGGGGGGGGGGGATGGTAGAGAGGGTTGCTGGTAGAGAGAGGGGCTGGTAGAGAGGGGGGGGGCTGCTAGAGAGGGGGGCTGGTAGAGAGGGGGGGCTGGTAGAGAGGGGGGCTGGTAGAGAGGGGGGCTGGTAGAGAGCGGGGCTGGTAGAGGGGGTGGCTGGTAGAGGGGGGGGGCTGCTAGAGAGGGGGGCTGGTAGAGAGGGGGGCTGGTAGAGAGGGGGGCTAGTAGAGAGGGGGGCTGGTAGAGAGGGTTGCTGGTAGAGGGGGGGCTGGTAGAGAGGGGGGCTGGTAGAGAGGGTTGCTGGTAGAGAGAGGGGCTGGTAGAGAGGGGGGCTGGTAGAGAGGGGGGCTGCTAGAGAGGGGGGCTGGTAGAGGGGGGGGCTGGTAGAGAGGGGGGCTGGTAGAGAGGGGGGGGGGGCTGGTAGAGAGGGGGGCTGGTAGAGGGAGAGGGGTGGGCTGTGGGTGTGTGTCGTGAGGTGGACGCGAGCTGGAGGGCGTCAGGGGGCGCTCCGTGCCGCGTGACGTTGGGCTGTTTGGTCTTCCGGGCTGCGGCACACCAGCACAGAGCACAGCAGCAGCAGCAGCACGCCGCCAAGCACGACCCCACGTACTACTTCTGCCGCTGCTACCCACCGCTCTCGCTACACACGCCGACGGCGGACACACACCACACCACACGCACCACTCACACCACAACACACACACCACACCACTCACACCACACCACACACACCACACCACTCACACCACACCACTCACACCACACACACCACTCGCACCACACCACACACACCACTCACACCACACACACCACTCACACCACCCCACGCGCAACTAAGCGACGCTCACCATGCGCTCGGCGGTGGCGCCACTCAACTCCGACCACACAGCACACGCCGACTGCCGGCAGGCGCGCAGCGTCCACGCGTCCACTGCTGCCCCAACGTGGCCGACTCGCCACTGCCAACGCGCCCACTACTAACCCACCACTACTGACACACTAACCCACCACTACTAACCCACCACTACTAACCCACCACTACTGACACACTAACCCACCACTACTAACCCACCACTACTAACCCACCACTACTGACACACTAACCCACCACTACTAACCCACCACTACTAACCCACCACTACTGACACACTAACCCACCACTACTGACACGCTCACTAACCCACCACTACTGACCCACCACTACTAACCCACCACTACTAACACACTAACCCACCACTACTAACCCACCACTACTGACACACTAACCCACCACTATTAACCCACCACTACTGACACACTAACCCACCACTACTGACCCACCACTACTGACACACTAACCCACCACTACTGACACGCTCACTAACCCACCACTACTAACCCACCACTACTGACACACTAACCCACCACTACTGACACACTAACCCACCACTACTGACACCCTAACCCACCACTACTAACCCACCACTACTAACCCACCACTACTGACACGCTCACTAACCCACCACTACTAACCCACCGCTCGTGCCGGTGCAGGTTCTCTGGAAGCGAGAAGAGTTCCTCGCCTCGTCTTCCCTCCTCGCCGGCGCCGGTACCACGCGGGTGAGAGGGGGGGCCGGGACCCCAGCGCGCCCCCCACCACCTTAGGGGATCGTGGAGTTCGACGAGGGGGCTCTACCCGCCCCCCTCCCCCTCTCAATGTTCGGGGTTGTGGCGGTGTTGACCCGCGGGCAGGGTGGGATCTGATCGTGGCAGGCCCAGGTGGAATTCGCGTCTCAACGGCGCCTCCTTGGGAGGAGACGGAGCCGACGGGTGAAGGTTGACCGGGGCGAGGGTTAATTGTCTCGCGGGTTGCCGCTGAAAGTTGCCGCTGCGAGTCGCCGGTGCGAGTCGCCGGTGCGAGCGCGGCTTAGGAATCGCGGTTGTCTCAGCCACCCCTGCGACCAGCGTCCCGAACGAGTGACGCCCGAACGCGGCCCCCTTCCCTCCCCCGCCGCCGCCGCCAGGGAGGTGTCGACAAGTTCCTTCTTTGCCCGGCCGGGGTTGCTCTTTGCTCCCTGGCCTAACCGGCTGTGTTTGAGTGACTGGTGCTAAAAATAGCAATAACCCTGCACGCCCCCACCCCCCTCTCCAAAACAACTAAACTGACCAGCGTGGTGAAGTATGGGAAAACAACCTTCATCGCTGAAAGTTGTCGCGAGGCATTCATCCAGCGGTGGATCGATAAAGCGTTGTACCTTGAATTGCGTTATCTGACAAAACTAAAAAAAAACACCCCCACAAACGATGAACTTGTGGCATTACTACTCCACTCGAGGCGTTTTCTGCAACACTTCCTATGATCACTGTTACGTTGTTTTTATAGCTTTATTTTGGTGATTTCGAAAAGTTTTGGATTAGCCATATTTGTTGTTGTTGTTGTACAGAGTTAGACTGATAACTTTAATCTAAATTTTTTTATGGTTATTGTTTTGACTTGCATCCCACTGAGATTTTTGCACACAGCGTTGATATGCGGTGCGTTTTCTGGAAGACTTTGCTGTTTTTTCCTGGATTTTTCTTTTACGCGTAGTCACTTTAAGATGTTTCTTGTTCGTGTTTTTGTTTGTTGCGGTTGCACCCGATTCAAGAGCCGAATGGCTCACAGGGCTACACCTAATAAATTAAACTTAACCAAAGTGACCGCATCATCGCGGGGTTGCCAGGAAGCTCGGGCACGCCACCAGAGCCGACAGTTTGAGAAGGATTGTAGTTGTTGGATGAAGTGTGGAAAATGAACAGACGTCGTGTTTGTTGGGTTGTGCTGGAATGAATTAGCCGAGCCCCTTTGTGAGCCGAGGTGGCCAAGGGTAATTTCGTTCAATGACGTGTAGCGTGATGGAAGAGCACCTGGCATTAAGGTGGACATAAACAGATGATACGTCAATGCAGGGAAGCCAGAAATATTCAGATACTTTTGTAATGCAAACTTAAAGACTTTCTTTTGAAATGCAAAATCCTTTTTTAGCATTGTTTGTGCTGTGCTCACCCCACAGTCAGAACTAATCTTTAATCCCGTGTTCCACATACCCCCTGTTTGTCATTGTCTCCAGAAGAGGAGTGTGGATAGCGGTGACGTGAATCCTGCCGCTTGAGACGCCTTCGTATCCCCAGCACACCACCGCACACACCACACGCTCCACGTCGCACGCACACGTGCCGCACACACTCCACTTGGCTCGCGCAACTAACCAGACACTCCAAGCCACGCACACCTTCGACCGCACTGCACAACACGCTCGCTGTTCACCAAACCGAACAACGAGCTTACGCTGACAGCACTGGACTGCCGCACACCGGCACGCCACATTCCTACGCCACACGCACAGACGCACAGCCTCGGCATGCGTGCCCCGTCACGGCGGGGCTGGTCGTTGCTGGGCCGCGCGCTGGTGCTGCTGAGCCTCGTGTGGTTCGCCTACGTGCTGGTGCAGCTCGTGACGTCGAGCTCGCGTGAGCAGAGCGAGCGAGCACAGCCCTTCGAGCCAGCGGAGAAGGGCGAGTCGCAGGAAGGTCCGTGCTCCGGCCGGGGACGGGCACATCACGACGCTCACGTTTACACCGTAGCCTAAGGAGCCCGTGCAGATTTAAGTGTGCGAACAAGAAACACATGCGTGGTAGGAGAGAGGCAAGCGGTTTGGAAAGGTCAGAAAATAAATTGGCAAAAAAGTGTTGTGGATGTGATAGTGAAAGGAAAGTTGTGCTGGGTGGAGCACATGCAGAATGGATTCGATTACAAAATTGTCATTCTCGTCATTGTGGAGAATGTAAGTAATAAATTAAAAATATATAAAGATCTTTTTTACACATTCAGAGAGCCACATCACTTTCTGGGAAGGATATTTCTTTCAGCAGCAAGGATATATTGGGTTGCTGAGACAGGCATTGGAGTGGTAACCAGGGAAAGACCTAATTCCACATGGTGATGATAATGAGACTTAAGAGCAGCTACAGTGTTGCCTGTGCAACAGCTAGGAGATTTAGCAGAAGGGAGCAGGCTATTGAGATGTGGTGGCTCCAATAGAGTTGACTACAAATGACCTCTTGCTTCTTTTAGTTGTGGAGGAGGACCTGTCGCGACCACTGTACTCCAAGCCCCCTCCGGACGAGCGAGCGCTGGGCGAGTGGGCCAAGGCAGCCCGACTCAACCTTCCCGAGGGCTCGTCCGAGCGTAAGCTGGAGGAGGAGAGCATCGAGCGCTACGCTCTCAACATCTACCTGAGCGACCGCATCTCTCTGCACCGCCACATCCCCGATGGTCGCATGTATGAGTAAGTGCTCCTCAATAACGTCGATGGGAATTAATGGAATGCCTTGCCGAGTCTCAAGAATCATAAAAATGATGGACCTTGGTTATTCTGTTTTTATGCTTTTCATCCTGTGCAGTAAATATTATTATGACAGAAATGGCTTAGAAGTTGTTTTGTATAGTTCTGATGCCAATTACACACAATTTGGATACATTAAGCTTTTAAGTGTGAAGGAAGCCATCTGCGTGATAAGATAAGGAGAACTGGAGGGAATACATTGTTTTAAGTAGCTTAGGGGAACCTTTTGGACAGGATGATATGGGGTAAGAATGTTTCCTTACATTGAGGGTGGCAATAAGGAGACTATGGTGGATGTCGTTGCTCACTCACAGGGGAGAAGATGAACGCTGTAAGCCTAGGACGCCTCCTTGGTTTAGGCAATTGCATTATAGTGTTTTTTTCCAGTTAGTGTTTTTGTTACACCTGTTTTTGTTACACCTCTACGTATTTATTAACAGTGAGCTTATGACAGTAAACATTGAAAGTGAGTTCACTCGCGGGCACAATGTTTGTAATCGGCACGCGGGAAGGCGAGAAAGGAACAAAAGCTGTTTGTTTTTTGGCTAAAGCGACAACTGCTTGCCGAATTTCCCCGCGCCTGCCGGGCGCCGGTAATACCGTAAACGTGGCTGCCCACAGGTGCAAGGCGCAGAAATTTGACTACCGCCGCCTGCCCACCACGTCGGTGGTGATCGCCTTCTACAACGAGGCGTGGTCCACGCTCCTGCGCACGGTGCACAGCGTGCTCGAGAGCTCGCCCGCCGTGCTGCTGCGCGAGATCATCCTCGTCGATGACTTCAGCGACAGAGGTGCGCCGCGTTCCTCAAAGACGAAAGTTCGCACGCGCCGCTTTCGGCTGTGACGGTTTCCTTTTGGGGTTCGTTTTTTGCGCTCCGCGTTGACCTTCGTCTTGTTGTCACATCGATCGGCTGTTTTATTTTAATTTTTAAATTATTTAAGGACGTACGCCGGAGAGGTGGAGCAATGAAATCGGATTTTTGTGCAGGTGCTTGATGGATTGTTGGGGGAGGCCTTCATCCATAAATCCCAGCCATTCTCAATCCACCAATGGATGAAAGCATCCCCACACCACATGAGTCTTGTGGGTGTTTTGGCCGTACACCAAGCCTCACCATGCTGCTCAGTGTTGGTTGGTAAAGGGGGCAGAGGGAATTAAACTATGGATGCTCGATTCAAATTTCAGGGTGATATCCACTGTACCACCACTCCACCCATTTACTTGATATTGCTTCCAGAAAAATGTGAAATATAATATTTTCAAAAACAACCACAATAGAGACTGGATGGTTCAAGTTCAAAGCCCCGAGAACCAATGGCACTGAGATCCTGGGTTCGAATTTGGGTAGTGACCATCAATAATTAAATCTGGTTCTCAGCTGTAGTGAAGTCATTGGTGTCAGCCTGATAATTATCAGTCACTGCACGAAATACCCATGAATAATTTTTGTTTTTCCACTTAATTTGCTAAACTTCCAGATATGGGTTTACAACAGGGTTCGTAGAAAAGTGTTGCAGTCTTATTGTGTATAACAGGACACTTCAAGGGATCCCCAAATCAGTTCTGTGATATGTGTTTCCACAGGCCGTTATCGAATGTGGGTAACACACTGCTCCGATAGAGTTCCAAATGCACGCTTCATCCCGTGACAGGATGCAGATTCGTGCACTCAGAATAAACTTTGGTTAAAAAAATGTCAGTGGTTAAAAACTAAATTATAGCAGCCACGTGGGGTAGTGTGGCGGTGTGGAGGAGGTGATGCCTTATGGGCCTGCACATCGGTACAGCAATAGCACGTTTGCTGCAGAGGCGACTGTGGCTGCAAAGGTTGGGAGCATTTTAGGCACTGGGCCAGTGCCTCTGGCTTCCTGAGCCCTTTTAACGGAACCCCTCGCAAAAACTCTTTCGGTTAAGTTTATTTTGAAGTCGCCTGTGAGCTAAGAAGCTCGTAAGTCGCATTACTCCCAGTTGAGTGAACTAATGAAATGTTATATCTGTGGAAAATATTTACTGTGCACGTTGGCAGCAGTGCAAAACAATCCTGAACTAGTTATTTTTTTCGTAAAATTTTCACGTTGAAACGGTGCCGTAGAGTTCCTTTTTCAACAAGTTCGTTCAGTTTATTATAATTATTATCTATAATTTATATGTCAGTTCGGAAACACCTGACATGTAATAGACTAATCGTGATGAAGCATGGTTTTCCCAGCCAATATTATGATCTGAATTCCTTTGTGGATTGGCCCATGTCATGACCTAGCCATATTTTTGTCGTGCAACCCTCCAGCACCTGTCATAGACAAATTAATTTAACATTCACATGTACAACCAAATTTAGCAATGAGAGAACGATATTTCGCTTGAAACTGCATCTAGCATTCTCAAGTTATGAAATGAGGGAGCCAAATAGCTGGCCAGATCATTACGTGGCCTCACCCAAAAACCACTTGCATATGATGAATCGTGTTTCACGGCAAAATCGTGATGTGGCCGATCCTATTTGCGGCGCCACGGTGGCGAGAAGTTAACTACCTCGCCTGGTATAAAAGAGGTCGTGGGTTTGATTCCGACGCTGACGCCTGTATATTTGGAGTTTAAATGTTCTCCCTGTGGTCATATGGATTTTTCTCCGGGTCCTCCGGTTTTTCCCTCCACATTTAGAAACACGTGTTTCGAGTATTTGTTATAAATGTCCACGTGATAATCCACTTAGTTGAGCTATGATTTGTGGCCAGGTCGCTTCTGAAAAATAGCTATATAGCTCGGTGGGCCTTACATGGGCCTTACATGGTAAAATAAACATAGTTATGAACATAACACTCGCGTGCTTTTGCTCATTGTTGCGCGAGCAGCTTACCTGAAGTCTCCGCTGGAGGACTACATCAGCACGCTGGAACGCGTGCGCCTGGTGCGCACGACGCAGCGCGAGGGGCTGGTGCGTGCACGCCTGCTGGGTGCCACCCATGCCACGGGCCAGGTGCTCACCTTCCTCGACTGCCACTGCGAGTGCGTGCCCGGCTGGATCGAGCCCCTGCTCCAGAGGTACCGCGCTTGCGCATCAAATTCACGATCGCACCGTTCGTCACCTTCCATGGACTCGCCCCTGCCTATACCGCTCCAATGTCATCTCACTCCACTCCTCCCTTAACATTATTCTACCTCTCCGCATCTCCCTCGTCCCCACTCCATGCAATCTCCTGCCTCTCCTCTCTCATCTCACAGTATTCCCTGCTACAGTGAGGGAAAAAAGTAATTGATCCCCTGCTGATTTTGTACGTTTGCCCACTGACAAAGAAATGATCAGTCTATAATTTTAATGGTAGGTTTATTTTAACAGTGAGAGACAGAATGACAACAACAAAATCCAGAACAACGCATATCAAAAATGTTATAAATTGATTTGCATTTTAATGACGGAAATAAGTATTTGACCCCCTCTCAATCAGAAAGATTTCTGGCTCCCAGGTGTCTTTTATACAGGTAACGAGCTGAGATTAGGAGCACACTCTTAAAGGGAGTGCTCCTAATCTCAGCTTGTTACCTGTATAAAAGACACCTGTCCACAGAAGCAATCAATCAATCAGATTCCAAACTCTCCACCATGGCCAAGACCAAAGAGCTCTCCAAGGATGTCAGGGACAAGATTGTAGACCTACACAAGGCTGGAAGGTGCTGCAAGACCATTGCCAAGAAGCTTGGTGAGAAGGTGACAACATATTCTTAGTTTTTTCGGTAAAGTCACGTTGAAGGGAAACAACAAAATAATAAAATATATATAAACAATAAAAAAATTCTCACGACGTTTCGACCATAACTCAAACGGTCGTCTTCAGGTGTGTTGGTTTGCATAAATGTATTTTTAAACGGCGAATTTTCTTAATAAATAAATAAATAAATGCGACGTTTAAAAATACATTTATGCAAACCAACACACCTGAAGACGACCGTTTGAGTTATGGTCGAAACGTCGTGAGAATTTTTTTATTGTTTATATATATTTTATTATTTTGTTGTTTCCCTTCAACGTGACTTTACCGAAAAAACTAAGAATATGAATTACTGCAGTCACGAAAGCTTTAAATAAAAGGTGACAACAGTTGGTGCGATTATTCGCAAATGGAAGAAACACAAAAGAACTGTCAATCTCCCTCGGCCTGGGGCTCCATGCAAGATCTCACCTCGTGGAGTTGCAATGATCATGAGAACGGTGAGGAATCAGCCCAGAACTATACGGGAGGATTTTGTCAATGATCTCAAGGCAGATGGGACCATAGTCACCAAGAAAACAATTGGTAACACACTACGCCGTGAAGGACTGAAATCCTGCAGCGCCAGCAAGGTCCCCCTGCTCAAGAAAGCACATATACATGCCCGTCTGAAGTTTGCCAATGAACATCTGAATGATTCAGAGGACAACTGGGTGAAAGTGTTGTGGTCAGATGAGACCAAAATGGAGCTCTTTGGCATCAACTCAACTCGCCGTATTTGGAGGAGGAGGAATGCTGCCTATGACCCCAAGAACACCATCCCCACCGTCAAACATGGAGGTGGAAACATTATGCTTTGGGGGTGTTTTTCTGCTAAGGGGACAGGCCAACTTCACCACATCAAAGGGACGATGGACAGGGCCATGTATCGTCAAATCTTGGGTGAGAACCTCCTTCCCTCAGCCAGGGCATTGAAAATGGGTCGTGGATGGGTATTCCAGCATGACACACGGCCAAGGCAACAAAGGAGTGGCTCAAGAGGAAGCACATTAAGGTCCTGGAGTGGCCTAATCCCATAGAAAATCTGTGGAGGGAGCTGAAGGTTTGAGTTGCCAAACGTCAGCCTCGAAAACTTAATGACTTGGAGAAAATCTGCAAAGAGGAGTGGGACAAAAATCCCTCCTGAGATGTGTGCAAACCTGGTGGCCAACAGCAAGAAACGTCTGACCTCTGTGATTGCCAACAAGGGTTTTGCCACTAAGTACTAAGCCATGTTTTGCAGAGGGATCAAATACTTATTTCCCTCATTAAAATGAAAATCAATTTATAAAATTTTTGACATGTGTTTTTCTGGATTGTTTTGTTGTTATTCTGTCTTTCACTGTTCAAATAAACCTACCATTAAAATTATAGACTGATAATTTCTTTGTCAGTGGGCAAACGTACAAAATCAGCAGGGGATCAAATACTTTTTTCCCTTGCTGTACGTACTCTTCCCTTCAGCAAGTAAGGCTCTCTTTTGAAACATCCAAATCACCCTTCGCTCAGTGGGAGCTTGCTCATTCTGTGGGACTCACTTCCTCAAGCCGCCTGTGCTGTTGGCTCCCTGCCCCAGTTTAAATTCATGCTCAAGGCTTTATTTTTCCCTATCCCTATCCTTGGCTGCTTCTCACTACAAATAAATATGCTGACTCTTTCTGTACAGCACAACAGGCGCAACACAATGATTCAGTCTTGTATCGAATCATGAATCTAAATCGTTACAAATCATTCCCTGCCAATTTTTTGGACTGCACTCTACCGATAAAATTCACCATTTGAGGACAGATTGTGACCGTCCGTCAATATGCAATCACCATTCTGCATCGTCGGCGCCAACCCCGATGCTTTTCCGCAGGATTTGGGAGAAGGAGACGGCGGTTGTTTGTCCCGTGATCGACACCATCGATTGGAACACGTTTGAGTTCTACATGCAGACGAGCGAGCCGGCCATCGGGGGCTTCGACTGGCGCCTCACCTTCCAGTGGCACGGCGTCCCCGAGCACGAGCGCTCGCGCCGGGCCTCCCGCATCGAGCCCATCCAGTACGCGTCGCGCGGTGCCACGCCGGCCCCGGCAGGGCGCTGATGCCCGGCTTTGTCTTCCTCCTGCACTCTCGAGTGGAGGAGGAATTTTATTCTGTGTGTCATCATGGGACCTCCTATGCCAGTACCAAAATATGAGAATAGGTTTTCACCTTTTTTTCTGGCAACAAAACAGCTGTGTTAAGATGTTAAAAACACCAAACTGAAACCTTTTACAAGGAATCATGTCTGCATTAACCACAATACTTGGGGTCAGAATGCAAACAAAAAACATACTCTGATAATATATGCATACTCTGATGCATATATATGCATACTCTGATGCATATATATGCATGCTCTGATGCGTATATATTATCTGAGTATGTTTTTTGTTTACATTATGACCACAAGTATTGTGGTTAATGCAGACATGATTCCTTGTAAAAGTTTCAGTTTGGTGTTTTAAACATCTTAACACAGCTGTTTTGTTGCCAGAAAAATGAGGAAACCTATTCTCGAATTTTATTCTGGTCTTTATAACAATATTTGTTGTCCTTCTCCCGCAACTCCGATTAGCACGGTTGGCTACGTGCAAAAGAAGTTCAACATACATACAATAGTATTCAAATTATGCATGTGCATGATAGCTTCTGGGGTTGTCCTATGGTTCGATTCTGGCCTGCTATCTGATTTCAAAATTTCCATCACTGATTTAGGGCTGTCACCATGAGATCAGCAGTTACTCATTTGATTTTGATAACACTTGTGTATATCTTAGTTTTTATGAAGCCCAGGCAGGTGAGTGCTCTCAACATCCATATCTTGTACGGCGTTCATTAACAAACAGGCTGGTTGGAAACAACTACTTTCGAAAATGAGTGTTATAGCTATTGAAGGTAATCGACACGAAGGAACTTTGCATAACAACACCCCACCTGCCCGTGGTGGGGAACTGGGCTGGTCGAGAGGCTGCTGGGCTTCAGGGTTCTCGCAGCGAGAGAACTTGAAAGCGGCCGGGACTCCCGGCCGTCGAGGCGGCGGCCCGCCACGTGTGCAGGGGGCGGGTGTTGTCACGGAGCGTGGCCACGGACGAGTCGCGAGGACGGCGCGCGTCCTGCCCCGACCCACGCCCGTCGCGCTCCCTACCGGCCACACAAAGCTCATTGTTTTGGGTTAATGGGTTTCCGTCACCGTGCTGCTTTAGGTGAACACGTTGGTCCCACGGCCTGAAACCCAACCCACACCACGTGCCGCACCGCAGCCCCAGCAGATGGGGGCACGTGGGACACGTGTAGCGTTTGCTTGAGAGCACTGAATGGCAGTGCTTGTATGCCGACGGGCAGTAACCGTAGCTGTGTTTACCTTCCACATTTTCGCGTGTTTGTTCATGACCAGCTTTATTTAATTAACATTCTTTACAACACGGTATGTAAAGCAAAGCACATAATATCGAGTGACCACTGTCCGCAAACGGGATGCCATAGGCTGATGCGCGGCTGCACGATGGGAAGTAGAGGGCAGTGTAGCAAAATCCATCGTTGTACTGTACCTCTACGGTCCCACGTCGACACTTCTCATCTTCATCCACCCGCACTGACCAGAGTGGTGAAGCGTGGTCAAATGACCCCCACAACTCGCACGGTGTAGGGAGGCCTTCATCCCCCAATGGATTTACAAAAGGGCTGCATGTGGGCACAGTGCTTGAGCGAATATGCATCAATGAGGTGTGAGGCACAATGTACATTCGATAGACACACCTAAGCAAGTTGCAAACGTATCGGCTGTCACCGTTGATGCAAAACGCATAAATATGCAATGTAAAATCCTGGAACCTTTGTGTGAAAAGCCATTGTTATATGTGGAAAATAATGTGTTTCATCCATACGTCACCACAGTGATCAATGCGTGTTGGTGAAAGGGGAGCCAAGAAACAATTCAGATATCACTCACCAATGATGATAGCCATGGCTGGATTCACCGTACAGTGTGCTAGCCACTGCGACGCTGTACGAACGCATGTAACAACATGTTTTATGATTTTGTCCATGAGTTGGTATATGGCCTGGGGCTCTGCTTATATTGTGTGCCTTACGATATGAATTCATTAAGCAGGGCAATGGATCGGCTGTCCCGTCGTGCCACCTATGAACCAAACTCATCGAACTTCCATTTGTGGAATCCCGGTTCCATTGCTACCGACCAGCCAGACAGTGTACCACCCTGTGACTTCCATGCCATTGGGCCTTTTATGCCATTGGGTCTTACGATATGAACTAATGATAGGAGTTGTCTATCTCTTGTACCTCCCTCCCCGCCCCCTGGGCACCTCCCGTAGGTCTCCCACCATGGCCGGTGGTCTTTTTGCCGTGAGCAAGAAGTATTTTGATCACATTGGCACGTACGACCAGGGCATGGAGGTGTGGGGTGGTGAGAACCTGGAGCTTTCTTTCCGGGTAAGTCTACTGGGATGGCTCCGGTTGCAGAGCGGATAATTTATGGAGTGTTGCCACCCACCAAAAAAAAACTGCTTGAGCGCCTGGTCACACAGACTATCTTGTTACAAACCTAACAAAGGGAAATGTCTAGTTCTTGAATGTTTGGGGGTGTGTAAGTGGCTGAGTGTGTGTGTGTCTGAACAGTTTCTCAAGTGCTAGGATTGTTACTTTGACACAATTGTGCTTTGGTAATTTTTATATTTTTAGCCGGTGTGGTGGTCGTCACGCATTTCTGTAATCTAGCGCTTTGGTGGCAACGGTTGGCGGATCGCGCAGGTTTGTGAAACTCCCAAACTGACCCAATTGCATGGTCACCTGAAAATGTCACTACAGCGGGCTTGGTTCGTGAATCTGACTGTGCGGACCTCTTAAGTAAACCTATGCATGGGGTTTATACGGCCATTCGTTGTCCTCCCACGTGCACAAAATATTCCTTTGAAAGTCAACTGGATCGGCCAACCATCCCAAAGAAGGGCCCTACTGAAAAAGAGCCTTGAGACTCGGTGAAGTTTTTTCTGGATAGATGCAAATGGGAATTGATCATCGGGTTACTCGAATTGTGGTCCACGTACATGTATGGCCTGTTTGTCATTTATCATCTGTATGAGGTCCTTGAGGGATATTTTGGCGACTGCACCATGCTGATCACTGCTGGGTGGTGATAGAGGGGTGGGGAGCGGTAGTGCAATGGTTAGCACGCTGCGTTACAAATCTGGTGGTCCGAGTTCGATTCCAGCTCGCAGCCACCAACATCAGTGACAATTATCTGAACTGATCCTGGGTCCTGGGCCTCCTCTAGATGGACTCAGCCTAAAAATGAGTACCTGATGTGATGTGTAAACATCGCCACTCGGGGGACAAAGGCGGTCGGGCACCGTGCTGGCCTTGTTTTCGAAAAGCACTTGTCTGAAGAGTTTGTTAAGGCTATAAGGGGGATCCTTGGGGAATGTTAAACGACAATGGATATTACTGCACAGCCCTCTGCTGCCCTTGAGGCCTAATACAAATAAGTCGGCCACCTAGGATATTATATAAATATAATGTTGGAAACTTTGTTGAAAATTTCACCTTGTCATCTGAAGGAAATGGAATCTGTCCGTCCAAGCACTGTCCAGGCCCCATGCCTGCTTAACTTGCGAGATCCGACGAGACCAGTCGCATTACAGGTTATTGGTCACGAGCAACCGCAGTCACATTGACCAAGCAACCCGTTTAAACTGGAGCGCGCCCACCGGTGCCTCCCCTCCAGGTGTGGCAGTGCGGCGGCTCGCTGGAGGTGCACCCCTGCTCGCACGTGGGTCATGTGTTCCCCAAGAAGGCGCCGTACCCGCGGCCGCGATTCCTGCAGAACACGGTGCGCGCCGCCGAGGTCTGGATGGACTCCTACAAGGAGCACTTCTACAACCGCAACCCGCCTGGACGCAAGGTGCCGCCCCGCTCGCCCCACTCGCATCATCGCCTCGCCGGGCAACCGGCTCGTTGACGCTTCGGCGCTTGCGGTTGCTACGCGCGTTCACGCGTTCACGTGTGTGCGCGCGTGCGTGTATTTGTGCAGGAGAAGTATGGGGATCTCTCGGAGCGTAAGACGCTGCGGGAGAAGCTCGGCTGCAAGAGCTTTGAGTGGTACCTGAAGAATATCTACCCAGACCTACACGTGCCTGAGGATCGCCCTGGGTTCCACGGAGCTGTGAGACACGAACACGCGAACACGCGCACGTACTCATGCACACGTGTTCACACTTGCGTTGTGTGCGTGTGACGCATGTACTCGTGGACACACACACCCACGCACAGACTATAGACCCCTTACAACAAGAGGATTTAACACACTGTTGGGGCAAGAGTTGTCATTGTACGCGAGTGATTTGCCAGAATAATCGCCCGATGATGCTGGATGTAATTACCAGCGAAACATCGTACTCAAATTGTAAATGTTGTGGATTTACTCTCCAACACACCAGTGGGCTGAGGTAGTAACTCATTGGCGTTTTGTTTACGTGACAAATCCCTTACTAATTGCCTGTGTCGGGCGATGGAGGGTTACGACACATTCATACTTACACTCTCTAACCCACAAACCCTTATTATGAATAATATTGATCTCACTGGCAGGAGGGCACAGGACAGACCCAGGTATTCCATGTTAAATGACTGAGATCACTATTATATGCACCACCTCTGCTGTCCACTGTACCACACCCTGACCCATATATATACACACACACACACAAGCATACACATGCACAATTACAGTTATCTTTGCATGATACGCATCACACACATCCTCACTCTTTCCTCCTTGAATCCTGGAAATATCAGCTTATTTGTTGTTGAGATCACAGACACGGGCAGCTGCGGGGTTTGTCTAACCCTAGAATTTGCGGGTTTCTCCAGATTCAAAACAAGGGGATTCAGTCCGAGTGCATCGACTACAACGCTCCGGATAACAACCCCACGGGGGCCATGCTGTCGCTGTACCCCTGCCATGGCCAGGGTGGAAACCAGGTGAACCCTCTGCTGCTGAACCTGAGTTCTCCCTACGCTGAGTTTTTCTGACACGTCATATTAAGCCTTGGTTTCGACAGACTCACACTTCACATTCACCCATTGTACAATTCACCTATCGGTTAACACACGTGAAAATACATGCCGTAGGTAACCAGTTTTTTGGGCCATGAATGCTTGAATACATTACAACTGCCAGGGCAACTATTTCCTTTTTGTGTTTGTTTGTGCCTGGTTAAGCGAAATAATTATTTATAGTTTACAACCCTCAATCCACTGATGGCTGAGACCCTCCCCAGGCCATGTTGGTCTTGGGAGTCCGCTCCTAACCGGTTCAAATTTCACTGGTCACTGTTGTTAGCCACGGCCAGGAATCAAACGCAGGGTCGCCAAATTCACAGTGCGGCACGTGTAGCATTGTGCATTATGTGAATCAATCCGTGGGTGTGTGTTCAGCCTGAAGCGATGTTTCCCATTGTGTTTTACATCACAAAGTAAGGTTGGAGCTCTCCGTCCCTCACTCGGGGCCTGTAGCACAGCGCGCGTGGCAGCAAGCCACCGCTGCAGCAGCCCTGCGCATGTTCAGTCGTTACGAAACGTGCCCCCCCTCAATGTGAAATGCGGTGAAAGTGCGGAGAGCGCGTGGCCACGCCCGCCCCCCCCCCCCCCCATCACTCACACGTGCGACCTCTGCCCCCTCGCAGTTCTTTGAGTACACGACGCGCAAGGACCTGCGCTTCAACTCGGCCACGGAGCTGTGCGCCGAGGTGCGCGACGGGAAACCGCAGGTGGCCATGCGCCACTGCCCGCCCGACAGTCAGAGCAACCCGCCCAGCGTGATGTGGGACTTCCGCGAGGTGCGTCGCCGCCGGCTGAACGTGAACTTAGTCTCAAGCCGGGGAAGCGTGGGCCTTGCTGGTCAAGCGTACGTGGTCAATAATAACAATGGGGTGGTGCGTTCCCTTATGTCACTCGTCCGACAGTAAAGTTAACTCAAAGTACCGTTATCCCTTCCCTTCCGAAAGCTCATTTGTATGCATGAATGTTGAACTTCTCTCACACCGTATGTAGCTGACCGTGCTAATCAGAGGTGGGGGGAAGGACAACAAACTAAAAGCAAAAAGCAGTTCTAAAGAAATTCGTTTTCAATTTAGATTTGAAAGTGCATAGCTCCAGTGGCTTCCTAATATCGGAAGGAAGAGCGTTCCAGATGGCGGCAGAAGCGCCATTTAGCGATAGCGGGGCCAGATTATTTTCTGCTATGGTTCTCTGTCTTTCGCCAGCATCATGGATTCTCTCAATCTCAATCCTTTATCTTTTAGATGATCTGTCCTTGTGTCTATCCACCTGCTATTCTCTGTCTTCCCCTTACTCTTATTTCCTTCCACTTCTGTGTGGCATCGCCAAGCACTGGATCCTGTCCGGACTCATTCTCCTACTGTGTCGAATCTACTGTGGCCGTCTTTCCTCGACTGTCTAATTACGTTGCTCTCACTCCTGTTTCTCCAGGCTGACGTCATATATTATATTCTAACAATGGGCATGTGCGCCGGAGTTGTTTGCGTGAGGTGTAAGGGTGTTTCTCTTCACGCTTTTCTAGCTCGTATCTAATTGATTGTACCATGCCTCGGTGTGTGTGTGTGTTTGTGTCTGCCCGTGCCCGTCTGTGTGTGTGCGTGTGCTTACGCTTTTCAGGATGGCACTGTGTACAACGCGCACAGAAACGCGTGCCTCACCGCATTCCGCAAACCGGACGGCCGGGCCGACATCGAGATCAGGCCTTGCATGCCGGATGACAAGAACCAGATGTGGACTTTCCAGTGACCCCTGCTCCTTTGACCCCCACCTCACCCTCCCCTCCCAACCCTCCCCCGGACCCTCGCGCCATGCCCAAAGATTACCGCAAACGATTGGGACCCGGTGGTTGATGACGACCCACGTGTTCTCCCATGACCGTTCCACGAAATGGGGTTATACCCATGGACAAACCTGCGTTGGCGGGGGCAAGTGTTTACTGAGCGCAGGATCAAAATGTTCCAAATTGGGGACCACCCTTTGTACCGCGGTGTTGGCGCGGACCGGTGTGAAGGGGTGTGTGCGATGATGGCCAAAGCTCAACGTCGGCGCTGTAAATCTGCATCGCTCGTTACTTACCAAAGAAATTCCAAAGGTGGCCTTTATCAAAAAAAGAGCATATTTATATCCCACCAATATATGCATATTTATGTATAGTATTTGTAAAGCGGAGGAGCGAATTTGTTTATCTTGCGGTAGTTGTGTAGATCCTTGTGTCATTTTACTCGAAATTTATTTTTCGATCTTTGCAAGTGAAACTAAGGCACTGGAGATGAGTGGTGACCAAAGAGGACACTCTGGCAATTAGCCTTGAGGGCCACTCAGCACAGCCTCATGACAGTTGGCCAGCTGTGCCATTACTAAAAAAAAAAACACCTTTTTCCAGCTCGCTTAGTTGGTGCAAATCCTTATGCAACGTTTGTATTTCCACTTACGCGAGTGCTAAACCGTGCCTAGGCTTGCACTCGTGTGGACGATACGTGGGCTCTTGCCGGCTGTGTCACCGAGTCATGCCGCCGTGGCTTCTGCAGGCACAAAGTGCTTTCACCTCAAACTGTTGGCGTACCACGACACCGTGTCCCGCTTGAGCAGCATTATAAGATCTCGCGTAGGTTCCTGCTTGTATCCGTTGATGGCAGAGCCTCTCCGCTGGCGAAAAAGCCACTCCCGTGCAGCGTGCGTGCCACCGCCGCCACGATTTTTGCCAGAGATGTCACATGGCTGAGTGGTGACTATTAATTTCTTGCGTCCGCTCGCTACTTTAGCAAAAGCGCATGTGGTCACGGCCGGTGGATGTGGACGGGTTTTGCAACGAGTCCATTCATTGCTGCGATCTCCTTCCTGTTGAAGCCTGGAGCGAGACACGGTCTTGCGCTGCGTTCGGACAGCGCAACGGGCGATGGTCGCTGAACGATGAGCACCCGGAGTGCGACTCTCACAGTGACGTTTCCCTTTTACCTCGCGCACTGCTCGGGATATGCGTGCAGATTGCGTACACGGTGGATATCGATGATCAGGGTCATCCCTCGAAGGGCTTTAGGATTTAGTGGTGAATACTGTATTTGGTTCCCCTTGGGAGAGGGGGGAGTGCATGTGCCCCGCTGTGCTCCCAGAAGGAGGAGCACTCCGTGCAGGGCGCAGGGAGCGGTCACCGATTGCCGCACCACAGAGGGGACGGCGTGGCCATGTCCCGAGCTCTCGATATATTTACTCATTCCCTGTGTGAAGCGTTAGGAGCAAGGGGCGGCGATCTTGCTCGAACATTCTTTTTAAAAATATAATTATTATTTCTAGCAGTTGCATAGTGGGATTAAATCCACTTTAGTAGACGTTTAGGGATAATTATAGTTTAAGCGGATATCAAATTCCAACGCGATGATAATCGCAAATCTACCTTGTGTGCTTGGGAGGCAGGGCTATTGGTCGTCATGCTGTGTGGAGATACTGTCGGTGTGCGAGTTGCTTTTGGGGCTGCGGTTGAGTTTGGTGGTGCTGCGGGTTAGTTGCTCCAAACCGTTAAGTAAGACGGCTACCTCCGGCGAATACCCCAGCTCTCTGCACACGGTTCTGTCATGAAAAGCCTTTAACCGTAACCTCTGCTGATACTGTACATTGCCGGTTGGTAAGTGATTATACTGTGATCGGCGCGTCTATGTTTCTCTGCAAGGTTTTCGTTTTTTTCTGCTGCGGACTTTTGCGTCCGTGTCTTTTTTGTTTATTACGCGTGCAAAAATGTCATTGCGTTGCCCGAGGAACGGCGCAAGCAAACTCTTCGGTCGTAAGTTAAACATAGAGGGGGATCGGGGATCATCATTACCGTTGTTAGAATTGTAATGAATTTTCTACCTTTGCGTACGGGAGAAACTTGATTATTCTGCACATGCACCCTTCTGCAAACTGCGTGTTTACTGCTGTGGACTGAGCCCGTATTTTGTCTTCTCGTTGTGACATTGGACTCCCGTGTTTCGAATTTTCCTCTCTTTTTGACGTTTGACCCCTTGTTTGACGCTTGACTCTCCTTCTTGACTTCCCATTTCGGTTTCTAATTTTGGCATTTGGCTTCGAATTTCGAATTTTCCTTGTGTTGACCTTTGACCTCTGCTGTTGACCCCTCGTTTGACCCCCCTCGCCCGCGCGCGCCACTGCACGTCTCCGCTGCTGCACATGTCGACACATTGCTGCTGCTGCTGCTCCTGGTGGTCGACGGAGGGCCCATGATGTTTGTGGGCGAATTCTTGCGGAGCGTTGGAGCGTGTGACAACTGACCCCACTGGATAGGACGGCAGAGCAGCCACCGCATGGGCCAGGGAATTGGGTGTGTGGGTTGAAGTCGCACGCAGTCCATTGGTCATTTAAATTTGGCATCAGTAGGTTAAACACAGCATTTGCAATGTTAATTCGCGTAGTTTGTGAACGCAACATCTCGAATTTCTTTACAGCGGTGGGACACCGTTGTGGGCCGAGAGTCGAAGAGAGGACGCGTGGAATGGTGTTTCTCTATCGTTAAAATTCTAGTAAACAAACACTGCGTGAGCGAATTCAATACGTGCATATGTTCATCTGCTCGAGTCATTTATCACCTCCAGCACATAGCTGTGTGTCGATATAATTTTGAACGCCCGAGAAGCCCGCACCAGTGGGGGGGGGGGGGGTAGTGTGTACGCACGTTGCACGTGCCTCCCCGGTGCACGCTGCTGACGGGGTGTCAGCGGCCCATGCCCTCCAGTGGAGACGTCAGACGAGATCTCCCGTATTGGCAGCGACGCTTGCCCTCTGCCGTGGGGGGGTTGGGGGCGCTCGCGTCTCGCGCCGTGTGGGTGTCAGACTCCGTCTTGATGAAAGTGCCTTCGTTGACTGCGAGTGGAGAGTCGGCCCACGCGGTGCTCGTGATTCACTCTCGGGTTGCCCCCCCTATGATTTGAACACACGAATACAGTATCGTGTTTTACGTTTAAATGCATTTGCACTTTGCGTCTGTGATTTTGTTTGTCTTTCTCCCCCGTAGGGCTATTTGCGTCGCTGTGTACTCGTCCTGATTGCAGACAGGTGTGAGTGTTCGCAGGTGTGTGTGCTGGGTGTTCGCAGGTGTGTGGTCTGGGTGTTCGCAGGTGTGTGGTCTGGGTGTTCGCAGGTGTGTGGTCTGGGTGTTCGCAGGGGTGTGGTCTGGGTGTTCGCAGGTGTGTGGTCTGGGTGTTCGCAGGTGTGTGGTCTGGGTGTTCGCAGGTGTGTAGTTTGGGTGTTTGGCAAGTGTGATTGTGGGCTAATGGAGCGAGTGTGAGGCAGATGTTGAGTGTGGGTAGCTGTGTGTGTGCAAGTAAGACTTGCTAGGTGTGAGTGAGCCGGTGTGCCTGTGTGTTAGTAGAGAGTATTGGGCAGGTTTGAGTATTGTGCAAGTGTGGGGGCCGCAATCAGGTGTGATTATAGACATTTGTGGAGCTGTGTTAAGTGTTTGTGTGAGTGTGATAGACAGGTGAGAGTGTTAGGTGTGTGTGAGTGTGATAGACAGGTGAGAGTGTTAGGTGTGTGTGAGTGTGATAGACAGGTGAGAGTGTTAGGTGTGTGTGAGTGTGATAGACAGGTGAGAGTGTTAGATGTGTGTGAGTGTGATAGACAGGTGAGAGTGTTAGATGTGTGTGAGTGTGATAGACAGGTGAGAGTGTTAGATGTGTGTGAGTGTGATAGACAGGTGAGAGTGTTAGATGTGTGTGAGTAGTGATAGACAGGTGAGAGTGTTAGATGTGTGTGAGTGTGATAGACAGGTGAGAGTGTTAGATGTGTGTGAGTGTGATAGACAGGTGAGAGTGTTAGATGTGTGTGAGTAGTGATAGACAGGTGAGAGTGTTAGGTGTGTGTGAGTGTGATAGACAGGTGAGTGTTAGATGTATGTGTGAGTGTGATAGACGGGTGAGAGTGTTAGATGTGTGTGAGTGTGATAGACAGGTGAGAGTGTTAGATGTGTGTGAGTGTGATAGACAGGTGAGAGTGTTAGATGTGTGTGAGTGTGATAGACAGGTGAGAGTGTTAGGTGTGTGTGAGTGTGATAGACAGGCGAGAGTGTTAGATGTGTGTGAGTGTGATAGACAGGTGAGAGTGTTAGATGTGTGTGAGTAGTGATAGACAGGTGAGAGTGTTAGATGTGTGTGAGTGTGATAGACAGGTGAGAGTGTTAGATGTGTGTGAGTGTGATAGACAGGTGAGAGTGTTAGATGTGTGTGAGTAGTGATAGACAGGTGAGAGTGTTAGGTGTGTGTGAGTGTGATAGACAGGTGAGAGTGTTAGATGTATGTGTGAGTGTGATAGACGGGTGAGAGTGTTAGATGTGTGTGAGTGTGATAGACAGGTGAGAGTGTTAGATGTGTGTGAGTGTGATAGACAGGTGAGAGTGTTAGATGTGTGTGAGTGTGATAGACAGGTGAGAGTGTTAGGTGTGTGTGAGTGTGATAGACAGGTGAGAGTGTTAGATGTGTGTGAGTGTGATAGACAGGTGAGAGTGTTAGATGTGTGTGAGTGTGATAGACGGGTGAGAGTGTTAGGTGTGTGTGAGTGTGATAGACAGGTGAGAGTGTTAGGTGTGTGTGAGTGTGATAGACAGGTGAGAGTGTTAGGTGTGTGTGAGTGTGATAGACGGGTGAGAGTGTTAGGTGTGTGTGAGTGTGATAGACGGGTGAGAGTGTTAGGTGTGTGTGAGTGTGATAGACAGGTGAGAGTGTTAGATGTGTGTGAGTGTGATAGACAGGTGAGAGTGTTAGATGTGTGTGAGTGTGATAGACAGGTGAGAGTGTTAGATGTGTGTGAGTGTGATAGACAGGTGAGAGTGTTAGATGTGTGTGAGTGTGATAGACAGGTGAGAGTGTTAGGTGTGTGTGAGTGTGATAGACAGGTGAGAGTGTTAGGTGTGTGTGAGTGTGATAGACAGGTGAGAGTGTTAGATGTGTGTGAGTGTGATAGACAGGTGAGAGTGTTAGATGTGTGTGAGTGTGATAGACAGGTGAGAGTGTTAGGTGTGTGTGAGTGTGATAGACAGGTGAGAGTGTTAGATGTGTGTGAGTGTGATAGACAGGTGAGAGTGTTAGATGTGTGTGAGTGTGATAGACAGGTGAGAGTGTTAGGTGTGTGTGAGTGTTAGGTGTCTGTGTGTTAGGTGTGTGTGTGAGTGTTAGGTGTGTGTGTGAGTGTTAGGTGTGTGTGTGATAGAGAGGTGTGTGTGAATGTTAGGTGTGTGTGAGAGTGTTAGGTGTGTGTGTGTGTTAGACTGATAGGTGTGTGAGAGTGTTAGTGTGTGTGATAGAGAGGTGTGTGTGAGTGTTAGGTGTGTGTTTAGGTGTGTGTGAGAGAGAGTGTTAGGTGTGTGTGTGTGAGTGTTAGGTGTGTGTGTGTGTGAGAGTGTTAGGTGTGTGTGTGTGAGAGTGTTAGGTGTGTGTGTGAGGGTTAGGTGTGTGTGTGTGTGAGTGTTAGGTGTGTGTGTGAGTGTTAGGTGTGTGTGTGTGAGTGTTAGGTGTGTGTGTGAGAGTGTTAGGTGTGTGTGTGAGAGTGTTAGGTGTGTGTGTGAGAGTGTTAGGTGTGTGTGTGAGAGTGTTAGGTGTGTGTGTGAGAGTGTTAGGTGTGTGTGTGAGAGTGTTAGGTGTGTGTGTGAGAGTGTTAGGTGTGTGTGTGAGAGTGTTAGGTGTGTGTGTGAGAGTGTTAGGTGTGTGTGTGAGAGTGTTAGGTGTGTGTGTGAGAGTGTTAGGTGTGTGTGTGAGAGTGTTAGGTGTGTGTGTGAGAGTGTTAGGTGTGTGTGTGAGAGTGTTAGGTGTGTGTGTGAGAGTGTTAGGTGTGTGTGTGAGAGTGTTAGGTGTGTGTGTGAGAGTGTTAGGTGTGTGTGTGAGAGTGTTAGGTGTGTGTGTGAGAGTGTTAGGTGTGTGTGTGAGAGTGTTAGGTGTGTGTGTGAGAGTGTTAGGTGTGTGTGTGAGAGTGTTAGGTGTGTGTGAGAGTGTTAGGTGTGTGTGTGTGAGAGTGTTAGGTGTGTGTGTGTGAGAGTGTTAGGTGTGTGTGTGAGAGTGTTAGGCGTGTGTGTGAGAGTGTTAGGCGTGTGTGTGAGAGTGTTAGGCGTGTGTGTGTGTGTGAGAGTGTGTTAGGCGTGTGTGTGTGTGAGAGAGTGTTAGGCGTGTGTGTGTGAGAGTGTTAGGCGTGTGTGTGTGAGAGAGAGTGTTAGGTGTGTGTGTGAGTGTTAGGTGTGTGTGTGTGTGTGAGAGAGTGTTAGGCGTGTGTGTGTGTGTGAGAGAGTGTTAGGCGTGTGTGTGTGTGTGAGAGTGTTAGGTGTGTGTGTGTGAGAGAGAGTGTTAGGTGTGTGTGTGAGTGTTAGGTGTGTGTATGTGTGAGAGTGTTAGGTGTGTGTGTGTGTGTGAGAGAGTGTTAGGCGTGTGTGTGTGTGTGAGAGTGTTAGGTGTGTGTGTGTGAGAGAGAGTGTTAGGTGTGTGTGTGAGTGTTAGGTGTGTGTGTGTGAGTGTTAGGTGTGTGTGTGTGAGAGTGTTAGGTGTGTGTGTGTGTGAGTGTTAGGTGTGTGAGTGTTAGGTGTGTGAGTGTTAGGTGTGTGTGTGTGTGAGAGTGTTAGGTGTGTGTGTGAGAGTGTTAGGTGTGTGTGTGTGAGAGTGTTAGGTGTGTGTGTGTTAGGTGTGTGTGTGAGTGTTAGGTGTGTGTGTGTGAGAGTGTTAGGTGTGTGTGTGTTAGGTGTGTGTGTGAGTGTTAGGCGTGTGTGTGTGTGTGAGAGTGTTAGGTGTGTGTGTGTGTGTGTGAGAGTGTTAGGTGTGTGTGTGTGAGAGTGTTAGGTGTGTGTGTGAGAGTGTTAGGTGTGTGTGTGTGTGAGAGTGTTAGGTGTGTGTGTGTGAGAGTGTTAGGTAGGTGTGTGTGTGTGTGTGAGAGTGTTAGGTGTGTGTGTGTGAGAGTGTTAGGTAGGTGTGTGTGTGTGTGAGAGTGTTAGGTAGGTGTGTGTGTGTGTGAGAGTGTTAGGTGTGTGTGTGTGAGAGTGTTAGGTGTGTGTGTGTGAGAGTGTTAGGTGTGTGTGTGTGTGTGAGAGTGTTAGGTGTGTGAGAGTGTTAGGTGTGTGTGTGAGAGTGTTAGGTGTGTGTGTGTGTGAGAGTGTTAGGTGTGTGTGTGAGAGTGTTAGGTGTGTGTGTGAGAGTGTTAGGTGTGTGTGTGTGTGAGAGTGTTAGGTGTGTGTATGTGTGAGAGTGTTAGGTGTGTGTATGTGTGAGAGTGTTAGGTGTGTGTATGTGTGAGAGTGTTAGGTGTGTGTGAGAGTGTTAGGTGTGTGTGTGAGTGTGTTAGGTGTGTGTGTGAGAGTGTTAGGTGTGTGTGTGAGAGTGTTAGGTGTGTGTGTGTGTGAGAGAGTGTTAGGTGTGTGTGTGTGTGTGAGAGTGTTAGGTGTGTGTGTGTGTGAGAGTGTTAGGTGTGTGTGTGTGTGAGAGTGTTAGGTGTGTGTGTGTGAGAGTGTTAGGTAGGTGTGTGTGTGTGTGAGAGAGTGTTAGGTGTGTGTGAGTGTTAGGTGTGTGTGTGTGAGAGTGTTAGGTGTGTGTGTGTGAGAGTGTTAGGTGTGTGTGTGAGAGAGTGTTAGGTGTGTGTGAGAGTGTTAGGTGTGTGTGTGTGTGTGTGAGAGAGTGTGTTAGGTGTGTGTGTGTGTGTGGTGGGAAGCGGTAGTGTAGCGGTTAGCGCGCTGCGCAATGAACCCGGAGACACGGGTTCGATTCCCGCTCACGGCCAACACCAGTGACGATTATCTGAACCGATCCCGGGCCTCCCCTAGGTCGACTCAGCCTCAAATGAGTACCTGGTGCGGTGTGTAAACATTGCCACTAGGGAGACAAAGGCGGTTGGACGCGGTTCTGGCCACCCACCCCCTCGTGTACTGGTACCGGCCTTCATAGGTGCTCGCTAACAGCACTTGCCCCTACAGTCTGTTAAGGCTATACGGGGGATCTTTGGTGTGTGTGAAACACCATGCTGTCAGCCCTGCCTGTCTCCCCCTCCCATCTTCACTACGCATTGTTCACCGCTGCGAGCAGCAGGTGGCGACACTCCGTCTCGTGCTGAAGGGAACCCGACCAGGGCCAGGTATAGAACCGTCCAACATTCTACACGGCCCGGTACTGGCAGACCCAACCAAAGTGGGTGCGCTGCTCCCACACCCTGATGATGTGTGGGAGCACTTTAAGCCTCTCGTGAGCCAGGGCTCAGGCAGCGCTGGCTACGACTGAGTCACATTCCTCATCCCTGGGGGCCGAGATGACACTGGATGAGCCCTGGCCACCTCACCAATCCCGTGCCAGGCTGATTTGGCGCTGCTGGGGTATCGCCTGACCCGGTCTCCCGGGAGGCTGCGTGCATTTATTGGCGTGATCTCGACTTGACCTGGAACCACAACACGGCCTTGGTGTCCATAGACAAACGTAACTGCTGTTGGCGCATGCCTGCCTCTCCACTCTACTCCTCCTCACCCACTCACCACCCTCCACTCTCACTCTACTCCTCACCCACTCACCACTCTACTCCTCACCCACTCACTCTCCACTCTCACTCTACTTCTCACCCACTCACTCTCCACTCTCACTCCACTTCTCACCCACTCACCACTCTCCACTCTCACTCTCCTCCTCACCCACTCTCCACTCTCACGCTCCTCCTCACCCACTCACCACTCTCCACTCTCACTCTACTTCTCACCCACTCACCACTCTCCTCCTCACCCACTCACTCTCCACTCTCACTCTACTTCTCACCCACTCACCACTCTCCACTCTCACTCTCCTCCTCACCCACTCTCCACTCTCACGCTCCTCCTCACCCACTCACCACTCTCCACTCTCACTCTACTCCTCACCCACTCACCACTCTCCACTCTACTCCTCACCCACTCACCACTCACCACTCTCCACTCTCACTCTCCTCATCACCCACCGACTCGAGTGATTGATGCCTTCTATTGAAGCACCCCCATCACCATCCGCTCAGTCTGAGGTCTCTCATCCTCTGCCCCCCCTCTCTACTGCCACCCGTGCTATTGACTCCCTGTTCAGGAACAGTCTCAATACGTTCCTCGTCCGCCTATCGTGGTCTTGGGATGCGGTGCATGCACACGCCGCTGTCTAACTCCACGCAGTGAATTGCAGTTCGCCTCCACGCGTGAAGGTGGTTCACACCATCTCGACTCGAGTCCGGGGTCCGGGTACCCGTCGGGTATCCACGCGTGACACACAAGACGGGTTTGTTTCGGGTCGGTCCGAAGACGTTTTTAAGGCTCGCCGGTCGGTGCATGTTCATCGCGGGTCACCCGCGGGTCACCTGGCGAGAATCGTCCAAGTCATAATGACTGCTTCAGCCCACACTGGTGGACTGGAGCGGTAATTCCATTGGCGCCTTGTTCACGTGACAAACCCTTACCGGCTGTGTCGGGTGATGGAGGGTCACGACACATTTATACTTACGCGATCGAACCCAAACACCTTTATTATGAATAATATTGGTCGCGAAAGCCTGCAACGTGTTAAGGGGCCGTCCATAAATGACGTCACGCACCTGGGGGGGGGGGGTCAGATATTTGGGACGATGTGTGATGAGGGGGGGGGGGTTGAAAAACATGACGTCACATCAAAATGCGCAACTTTAAATAAATATAGACAATACGTTCTACTTAATTAAATAGACGTTTTAATAAATGTTTTCTCCTACAACATCAGAGTGCAACGCCACATGAAAAACGCACAACAATGACAATAGTTTAAAGCGATTTGAAGCATGTTTTATTTATTTTTGGGGGGGGGGGGAGCAGAGCTTGGTGACGTCATATTTGAGGGGAGGTCTACATTTTTGTGACGCCGTGTGGCGAAGGGGGGGGGGTCAAAAATCGTCCAAAATCGCGTGACGTCATTTATGGACGGCCCCTAAGCTGAATCGTTGAATTATGTCTCGCTAGGAACTGGGCGGCGCGACATTTCGGTTCAATGTTCGGCACCACAAACCGGGCCGGACTACGCACGTGGCTACGCACGTGGCTACCGGTAATCCAGCACTGTAGAGGCGAGCATTTGGTGGATCACCTCACAAATGTAGCGAAACTTCCTTACCGTGGGCCTGGCTTGCCAGCAGAAGGCGGTAACAACAAATGTGGACTCCACCAACTCTGTCTAGCGATCTGTATGGGATAGAGTGTTGCCCCCTCGCATGCTTGAGTTTAATCTGGGTGTTTCAGTTTGACCAATCCCCCCTCCACCCCCTCATTAATTGGTTGACACATCTTAATGTTATCGAGGAGCGTAGAACTTGGGAAATTGTGGTAGCGCCGGCTCTGAATCGTCCCCTCTTCGAGAGTGATATCGGTGTTCTTCGTGCTGGTGGAGCCATGGTCCACGTGGTGGTTGCCAGCGAGCGTCCGTGGAGCTGGAGGGAGTCTCGGGCCTGTACGCCGGATGGATTTCTGATAACATTCACAATGTTTCAGATGTAAGCTGAAAGCAAGACAAAGACGACACCCTTTTCCTAAGCAATTTAACAAGAAGAACTTGAAGTGTTAATTAGAAAGAACATTGTCTGAAATGTCGTCTATTTTTTTTTACTTTTAAATCGCCATAGTTATTGACGATTTATTTTAGTTATATTTTTGCTTCAAACAAGTATGTGTTCAAATTACCTTGCATAGAAACAGATTTGTTAAGATTAATTGCTACTTAGATGCATACACACAGACTTTTGGCAAATGCCGTTAGTGAGCGCCTATGAAAGCCAAGATGGCATGCATGGGGGTGGATGTTAAGCACCACGCCCGGCCGCCTTTGTCTACCAATTTAAGGCTGAGTCGACCTAGGGGAGGCCCAGGACCGGTTTAGATATTCCTCACTGATGTTGGCTGTGTGCAGGAATCGAACTGTTCATAGAAGCGTGCAAACCGTGATGCTACCGCTTTGTACAACACACACACGCGCACATCAACACAAGCATACACACACATAGAGACACACATATAAACACACAAAACAGCCACTATGCACTACCGTGACTACCGTATTAGCAAAGTAAAGTGTGCCATGTGTGGTTCAATGTTTTCCAGACTCCATGTTTAGGAACAGATGCCTTTATGGAATGGAAGAAAGATCGTGCCTAACACTGCGAGAAGAATATATCACCCAGGTCTAATTTATTGAATAAAAAATGCGGGGTCGGGTCGGGTTACGGGTCCAATGAAAAAGCGAGTCGGGTTGCGGGTAGGATCAGATATTCGTGAGTCAAAGACTCTACCCTCTGCCGTCAGCAGTACACTCTCCGCGTAGCGCCGAGAGCCGGGCTCACGTCGCCACTCCACGATGACCGCGGTGTTCTACAGCCGTGGTTGGGATGAGCCCCGATGCAAGGAGTTCAGTGGTTTCACCCTTCAGTTCCGTGTCCCCCTCATTTCATAATTCTATGCAGTTCCACCGCCTGCACACTCCATAGCGACCCCACTCACAGGTGTTCCCGTGCAGAGGCACGGTGATGTGTGAGGATGTGGCGGGCAGCGAGGCGTGGAGTGATTGGAGAGGCGAGACGGGGGAGGAGGACGTGAGGGGAGGGGGGAGGAGGCGCAGCGCAGGACTCCGCTGTGGCTGCTGCTCCACTCGATCCCGCGGAGCCGCGCGTGCGGGTCCACTCTGCTCGCCTATCTCGCCTCAGATCCTCTCCTCCCTCCCGCCTGCGTCCCACACTTCCTCCCCGCGCCCTCCTCCTTTCATCCTCCTCCGTGCGCCCGCCCCGCCACCCCGTGACGCGCCGCGCTCGGAGTCTCCGCTCTCTCGCCCGGACCCCGGCTGCGTCTCCCGGGCCAGACCGACCCAACATGCGCGCACTGCCACTGCGACCATGGGCGCTGGCCGGGCGCTGAGCGCGCTGCTGCCGCCGCTGCTGCTGCTGATTGTCGCCCGCCTCCTGCAGCTGCACACAGCCCGCGCACAAGGTGAGTGAAGCGAACACACTCCGGCTGCCTACGGCGCAGACCACGCGCTGAGCCTCCACCCCCCGAACCCACCACGAGCACAGCGCTACCCTGCGCGGTTCTCTCTCCCTGCCGCGCCGCCCCGCGGCGACAGAGATGCGGCAGGGAGAGATTACTGGAGCAGTATCATCACGAGCAGCAGCAGCATCAAGAGTGGTTATCACTACTTATTTACCAAGGAAAATCACATTGAAGTCCCAATACTATTTTTCCTGCATTCGGATGATTCGCCAACACCAATTATATTTCGTCTTGTAGCCGTGGCAGGAAACTCAGGAGACCCCGGAGGAAGTCCATACAGAATTTGGGAAGAACAGGGAGCAATATATACTGTGCAAACTGCACACGGAAAGGGCGCCCGAGTCGGAAATCGACCACAGGTCCTTCGTGGTTCGAGGCACAAGTGTCACCACTGCGCCAGCCTGATGCCCAACAGCATCATCAGCAGTGGCAGCAGCATCATCAGCAGTATCAGCAGCAGCATCACAAGGGGACCGCATCTCGATCCTCCGGGATTCGGCTGACTACACTCTCGGGTGAGTGGGGTTGCGGAGAGTAGAAGAGGGAACAGCAGGGAACGGAGGGGGGTAGGGGTGGGGGGGGGCATGTCCCCTAGCATCCGCTCCCACTAATCCCCCCTCTCATTACGGGGCTCACGGCGTTTCCGCGGGGATTGGCGGAGGTTGCGACTGCCTGCTCGTCGCGGGCAGCGATAGCGGCGGGGGCTCGGTGTGCGTCGAGCCACGTGGGCGCGCGGTGCGGCCCCCAGCGCCGGCACATCTCCTCCTCCTCTTCCTCCTCCTCCTGCTCCTGCTCGCCCACCGTGACTCTCGCTGTGACCTCCGCAGATGCCGCGTGCTGCTACCAGGCTCGGGAAAACCCCATCTGCCGGGAGGTGTGCGAGCAGGTCCGGTGATTATTATTATCAGCAGCAGCATCACTGTCATCATAGACATCAGCATTCAATCACTATCGTCAATAATGATTATTTTTTTATTGTGTCAACAGTACCGTTGTTAATTATCATCAGCAGCATCATTCTTGTATTAGTAGCAGTAACAGCATCATAATCCGCACAGCCAACATCATCAGCAGCAGAATTCAATTTCCATTATGAATCATTATTTTCAGCATCAGCATAATCATAAATAAGCAGCATTGAATAATTATCATTGTTATCATGAATAATCATCACCATCATCATCAGTAGCATCATAATTTATCCATCATCATAGCAGCATTCAGCTATTGTCATTATTATCCTCATCAGCAACAGCATTATTCATTCGTCATCATCAATTGCAGCAGCAGCAGCAGCCAATCCCTATCAGCAGCATCAATACAATCGGTTATTATTATGCGGTCCGCACATCAGCATGCGAGCAATCATTGCAGACATTGCCGAAATGCCCAGTAAATTGTGCAATGCCTGAAGCCGAAATGCAGCAGGCTTCTATTGTACCGCAGCTTCACCTCCAGCTTCAGCCAAGCGTGGCACTCGCTCCCAGTATTGGCAGTGGGTGCTTGTGCTCAGCGTGAACGCACGCCAGCTTTCGACTTTTGTCCGGTAAACGCGAGGAATGCATCCCAATGTTGCTTGTGCCTTGTCCACCACAGCTCACGTCCACCAAGAGCGAGTCCAGGATGAAGCATCTGCTGCACAAGCTGCCCAGTTATTGCTCCGACAGCATGGTGAGGGAGCAGGCTCGCGCGATCACGTGCCGCACCAGAGGGCGTGCTGCCCCCCCCCCCCGGCCCCCCCTGTCCCCCCCCCCCGGCGCTGCCTTTGGCAGAGCCCTGGAAATTATTCCACGACAAATGAATCCCTGTGAGGAAGCGGTGGCGTCGGTGGCACTGGTAGCGATGCATCTGACATTCGATTGACCGCCTCTACCGCCTGCGCGGTCAGTTCAATACCGCGAGGAGCGTGGCCAGGGGCTGAGCGAGGGACATTGCGGGCAGAATTGCGCAAGCATCGGCGGCGCGGGTTCCTTGATGGATATTTGCGGAATAATTCCAGGATCTCGCATGGCTCGGCTGATCAAGTTCAGACCCGGCGAGCTCCTTTGAAGGCAGGGGTTTGAACGTGTGTAATTATTGCCATCTGAGCGATCTGGGCAGCTCCGCTGGGCACGGAGTGGGGTAGGGAGCGGCCAGGGAAGTGGAGGGATTTGTGGGGAGGGATGCTTGGGGGGGAAGTGGAGGGCTTCTTAGGGAGAAAAGACGCTGGTTTTGGGCTGCGGCCAGTGCCGGACCGTGCCAATGTGGTTATCTGGGCCTTGGTGCTCGTTGGCAGACCGAACCGCCACAGTTTGCAACACAGCCAAGTTTCACTCCTTGTGTAAGAGAGATGCAGCTCTAATGCAAAACATAACCCCGGAATCGTTTGACGTAGCCGCGGTACAATAATTGCGCGTTCGTCACAAATGAGTCGAACGCTTTTGAGGCTAAATCGGCGACCACGTGAGCATGCAGGGGAAATAAGACAGTTGAGAGGCGAGGAATTTAAGTGTAGACTGTGAGCCTGAGCCCCTTCAGCGTGTGTTCACGTTTAGGGGTTTTTTTTTTGTTTGCCAAATGAAAAGAGAAGGGCCTTGCTCGGCGGAGCCTTGATCTTTTCACGGGACTGGTCAATGGGCCATTGAGGCGGGCGGGTTGACAAGGGGCCCCGCTGGGCGCCCGCCGCCCACACAAGCACGCCGTTGTTGGGCCCGGCCCCCGTGCGCCAGGGCCCCTCGGCCCCTCGGCCTCCTCCGCCTCTCCGCACTCGCACCCTCGCACGTGCGCCGGGTCCCCGCGAGCGTGCGTCCTTCTCGCTCGCGAAGACGTCGTCCTGTGGTTGGACTCGACGCGAGCGGCCGGGCGGATGACGAGGTACCGGCGTCCGTCTGCCACCGCGCAGCAAGAGTGTCCTTTAAAGCGCGCGGGGTCGCCCATTATCAGCCAATGAGCCCGGCAATTAGCGGTGCGGGGTGACGTGCGCGGAGTGCAAATGTGCGATCTCGGTGCGAAACCAGCCCGAGACCCACGTCTGCGAATCGTTTAAATGATTAATGGTAACAAAAGTGAGAGGGAAAAAAAACATCCCTTTTGCGCTGCGTTTGTTTCAAAGGCACGCGTTTTGCCGAGCACGCGCATGGCTGTGGTTTATGAGCGCCTGGTCAACGGATATAAGGTTTGCGTGGCGGCGGCGACTATAAATTTAAAAGTAACATGAGTGAGGCATTTGTGGATTCGGGGAACGGAACGCATGTTGCAACGGTTAGCACCACGTGAGTTGGCCAGAGTGGCCGTCTTGGTGTTGCACCCCCCCCCCCCCCCTCTATTGGCATCACAGCGAGTTTGCACCGAGCTTGCACCCTGCAAGCTCGGCTCGTGGCCTGCGCTCCGCTAATTAGCATGCGAGTCACCTGATGTGGCCACACACGCAACCTCCAGCCGGCTCTCACTACCCCACCCCCCCGTACCCTCCCCACCCCCCATCTCGATTCCCATTCCTCCCTCCATCCCGTTCCCCGATGCCCGTTTCGTCTCGGCACATGGTAGCGCTTTTCTTTACCCCGTCATGTGACTCGAACACGCGGGGGGCGAAACTACAGCCGCCTCGTGTCGGAGCAGCCCGAGCCAGGACGGCTCTTTGGGAGGTGATTTAAAGTGGCCGCGCGGCACCGTGGACGCGGCGCGGGGGACCAATTCGGAATTCGGAGCCCTCGCTACTGCGTGGGTTCTCGCGGTGCGCGTGCCATGGATTCCTCCGATGTATTTTATTGTGGGCGGTCACGTCGGAGGTCTATGCAGATCTACACAGACGGCCCTTTGCCGATTCCTTGCCTGGCACAGGTCTGTCTCGGTCCGTGGGGGTTGTTTGACCATGCTTCACCACGCCGGTCACTGCGAGTTTGTTGAAGGGGCAGGTTCAGATATTACTCGCCACTCACGTTAGCTGTGGCTCGTGATCGAACCCGGGCGTCTGTGTTCGCAGCGCGGTAAGCTAAAAGAAAAAATCCCACCGCTCCTCTCAGCACACACGTGCGAATCTGGACTCGTTGAAGCCAACAGCTTAACTCTAACCCCCCCCCCCCCCCGCAGAAATTGCAAACGAACATTGGAATGTGATGCGAATGAAATGCTTCATACTGCCGCCCACAGCCAGCATGACACATTTCACACGGTTAGTTGAAAGTGCCAAAAAATATATTTTCGTAAGAAAGGATGACCAACTTGTCACAATGTACCTATCTTCTTCATCACAGTGGATGTTGATTCGGCTCGCAGCTGATTACAGCCCACGTGCCAAGGGGTTGCAGTGGCTGTTATGACTGACAATAGTTCAGACAGACACATGGGCGCAGCCATCGCGGGGCAATTCCATTCCCAGTGACGAAATGTTTCGCTTTGTAGCAGAAAGTAGATATTAGTTAGGAAGCTGAAGTCATCGTCTTGTATCACGAAAGTCGGGCCGATTTTTTTAAAAAGAAATCCACAAAAATTCTGTTGCGTTTGTCTGTGGCTTGCTTCTTAACAGCTGTGAGAAAACAGGAACCAAGCACCCTCCTTCATCACATTCGCAGGTCCACACACGCACACACTAGTCCATCAAACACACACACTAGTCCATCACACACACACACTAGTCCATCACACACACACACACTAGTCCATCACACGCACACACTAGTCCATCACACACACACACACTAGTCCATCACACACACACACTAGTCCATCACACACAGACACACTAGTCCATCACACACACACACTAGTCCATCACACACACACACACTAGTCCATCACACACACACACACTAGTCCATCACACACACACACACTAGTACATCACACACACACACTTGTCCATCACACACACACAGAGTCCATCACACACACACACACTAGTCCATCACACACACACACTAGTCCATCACACACACACACTAGTCCATCACACACACACACACACACTAGTCCATCACACACACACACTAGTCCATCACACACACACACACACTAGTCCATCACACACACACACTAGTCCATCACACACACACACACTAGTCCACACACGCACACTAGTCCATCACACACACACTAGTCCATCACACACACACTAGTCCATCACACACACACACTAGTCCATCACACACACACACACTAGTCCATCACACACACACTAGTCCATCACACACACACTAGTCCATCACACACACACACTAGTCCATCACACACACACACACACTAGTCCATCACACACACACACACTAGTCCATCACACACACACTAGTCCATCACACACACACACACTAGTCCATCACACACACACACATTAGTCCATCACACACACACTAGTCCATCACACACACACACACTAGTCCATCACTCACACACACTAGTCCATCACACACACACACTAGTACATCACACACACACACTAGTCCATCACACACACACACTAGTCCATCACACACACACACTAGTCCATCACACACACACTAGTACATCACACACACACTAGTCCATCACACACACACACACACTAGTCCATCACACACACACTAGTCCATCACACACACACACTAGTCCATCACACACACACTAGTCCATCACACACACACACTAGTCCATCACACACACACACACACACTAGTCCATCACACACACACACACTAGTCCATCACACACACACACTAGTCCATCACACACACACACTAGTCCATCACACACACACACTAGTCCATCACACACACACTAGTCCATCACACACACACTAGTCCATCACACACACACACTAGTCCATCACACACACTAGTCCATCACACACACACACACACTAGTCCATCACACACTAGTCCATCACACACACACTAGTCCATCACACACACACACTAGTCCATCACACACACACACTAGTCCATCACACACACACACACACTAGTCCATCACACACACACTAGTCCATCACACACACACACACTAGTCCATCACACACACACACTAGTCCATCACACACACACTAGTCCATCACACACACACACACTAGTCCATCACACACTAGTCCATCACACACACACTAGTCCATCACACACACACACTAGTCCATCACACACACACACTAGTCCATCACACACACACACACACACTAGTCCATCACACACACACTAGTCCATCACACACACACACTAGTCCATCACACACACACACACACTAGTCCATCACACACACACTAGTCCATCACACACACACACTAGTCCATCACACACACACACACTAGTCCATCACACACACACTAGTCCATCACACACACACACTAGTCCATCACACACACACACACTAGTCCATCACACACACACTAGTCCATCACACACACACACTAGTCCATCACACACACACACACTAGTCCATCACACACACACTAGTCCATCACACAAACACACTAGTCCATCACACAAACACACTAGTCCATCACACACACACTAGTCCATCACACACACACACACTAGTCCATCACACACACACTAGTCCATCACACACACACTAGTCCATCACACACACACTAGTCCATCACACACACACACACACTAGTCCATCACACACACACACTAGTCCATCACACACACACACACACTAGTCCATCACACACACACTAGTCCATCACACACACACACACACTAGTCCATCACACACACACACTAGTCCATCACACACACACACACTAGTCCATCACACACACACA